TTTTCCTCCCAGATTGACAAATCACATGTAAACTAGTAGCAAAACTCTTGAATAGTCGTAGCCTGCATATCGCTCAGGGCGATGGGTCAGGGTAAATGAATACAACTCAACTCAACTCAACTCAATCAATCAATAAATAAATAAATAAATCAATAAATCAAGCAACCAACCAACCAAACAACATCTCCCACATCCGAGATATATATAAACCCACAAACCCCCACCCCTACCACCACGACCCTATATAGGTACCAGCCCCTCCACCCCCTCCCCAAACTCCCCAATACACCCACACCCATACCCATAACGACAACTACAATCACCTCTACAAACCGACACTAGGGCGCTATTCTACCCATTCATCCCTACCTATCCCTACCTATCTACATAGCATCCGCTCGCCATTCGCCGTTGCGCGGCGTGTAATGAATCTTACATATGCCTCTACTGGGCCAAGGTCCAGACCGCGTTAGTGTACCTACCTATATAAGTAATTAAAAAAGTTGTTTCCAGCCTACCTGCGAAGCTGCCCGTGGTATTCTTTCTTTGCGTCTGTCTGTCTGTCTCGTTGACTTCACATATATCTCACATCGCTATTTCGCATATATATATGTATGTATATGTGTGTGTGTGTACGTAAAATCTGATTATTCAATTGTCCATTGCCGAGCCTGACCGTGATCGTGACTTCGTCAGAATATACGTACATACTACAGAAAAGTAGCGTAGCCGTGCCTCTGTACAGAGTACGTATCTGCCCTCGAACGCCTTTACAACCAACCGAGAAGAGAGAAAGAGCAAGAAAAGAAAGTGAGAGAAAACAACATCATCCACCTCCACCCACCTCCAACCAACCACCACCACCACAACAACAACAACACCCCATCTACCAATATCTAAGCCCTCACGCCCCTCGCCTCCCTCCTCGCCCGTCTCTCCCCCTCCCTCACCTCCTCCCCATGCACCACACTAGCCAACCTCGCCAGCACAGCCCACGCCCAAATCTGCTCGCCCACCCTCAACGGCTCGTCGCGGCCCCTCGCAGGCTCGAGCTCGCGCCCCGTCCACGCCTTAAACTCGCCCGCCGTCTCCAGCGTCAACAGCTGCAAAAACGCGCCCGCGACAACGAGCATCTCGTCCGTCAGCGTCAGTGTCCCGCCCCCGCCGCCCGGCAGCGGCATTGTTTGTCCCCGGTACGACGACAGCGGCGTGTCGCTCCAGACAAGCTGGCCGGTGCGCGAACTGAGGCGCGCGGTGGGGCGCGGAGCGGATAGGAGTGAGGCGTTGAGGGGGTTGGTGGGGCTGAAGAGGCGGGGTGAGGCTTTGGAGTGCTGGTATAGCGCGTCGAGCGCGCGGTAGTGTGTGTTGGTCCAGGGGGCGTGCTTGGGGAGGGCGGGCATAGGCGCCGCGAGCGGATGGAGAGGTGTGGGCGTGGGCGTGGCAGCGTTGTTGCTACTGCCCAGAGTGGACCACACCCGCGAGAAGACGCCGCTATTGCTTTGCTGCTGCTGCTGCTGCTGCTGGAGAGCTTGCAGCGCTTGCACATGCGAGGGGTGGATCTCTGGTGTGGTAGGCTTGGGGGCAGCGGGCGCGGTTGGTGCAGCGGCGAAAAGTGGCTTTCGGTCGCGATTGCTGCCCAGGTGCAGGGACGTCATGTGCGTGTTGCCGCGGTGCGGCGAGGGCTGGATCCGCTCTTCCGGCATTGCAGGTGCGTCCTCGATCTCAACATCCTCGTTCTGGTGCACGGGATGATCGTTCCGAGGCGTAAGGCTCTTCATATTCCGGTACGCTTCCGCCTCTGCGCGAAGCTGCCTGATGTCCGAGGTCATAGAGTCACCCTCCTGTGCCATCGAACTATCAAGCACGGAGTCCTGGAGGAGCGCCGACGCCTCGATGCTATGCGAAATTTTGCTGTACGGGCTACTGCTGGCAGCCGTAGGTGAAGAAAACACCACCTGCTGTTTCAGCGGACTACCCCTGGTCGGAGAAGTCAGCTTGGTGCCCGCATTGTACGGTGCTTTAAAGACCATGTTCTCGGGCATTCGTTGAGGATTGAACGCATTGCTCTTTTGAGGAATGTCGTTCGTGCCAAGGAGCATGGAAAGGTCCATCTTGTCGCTCTTCAATTGGGAAGGCTCTGGTTGCTTTGATGCGGTAGCATCGGGCTTTTGCCAGAAAATCCCAGTGCTGTCTGCATCGTCTGATACGGTTTCCGGCGTCTTGGCGCGTTCAGAAGAGTTCGAAGATGGTTCTGATTGCGAGCCAGCCTTCAACTCCTCCGCACCCTTGCTAGCTTGAGCATTGATAGGCTCTCCGTCCTTCGGAGATTCAGCAACCCTGCCGTGGCGAGACTTGGAAGCATTAGAACCACTGGCCAAAGTACTCTGCTGTTGTTGCGGGCTTGCCTGCCGCTGGCGTCTACGGGATGCCCGCGTGGAGGAATCTCGACTAGCTTCCTCTTCCCAGATATCGCTATCCTGAAGATTTTGCTCGGAGAGCTCGCTGCTACCCTCATCTGAGTTGATGACAATAACCTGGCTGGCATTGGCATCCTGAATCTTTTTACTGATTGTTTCACGACGGCGCTGCCAGTAATGGTCGAAATCTTCTCCAGGTTGTTGTTGTAAAACACTATCCTCGTAATCCATGAAGTTTATAGGACGGGAATTGCCTTCTTGGCCTTCTTCCTGAGAACTGGCCTTCGTCGATGGCGGCGTATTAGCCTTCCAGCTCATTCCATCGTCGCTTATTTGACTCCTAGCTGGGCTAACGAGCTGAACGGGTTGGGACTCGGTGTTGAGCTTAGGGTAGCTAACCTGTTGTTCGGAAGAAAGCTGGGCGGTAGATGCGTGATCATTTTCCTCCGGGGTAGGAAGGCGCTGCTCATTCGAATCGCTGGCCGAGCCTGCTGGAGGCACCGCGACTCTTCTGCCAGAAACATCATTGCCGGTCTGAGATTCTTTTTGGGGAGGGCTGGGGTCTCGGGTAGTTTCACGGGTTGTGGCACGCGATCGTGCGCGTTCTGCCAGCTGCTGACCAAGTCGCAGACCAGCTTGCAGCTCCCTCCTAGTCTTGGGCTTGAAGTCGTTGAACACTTTGTCCAGCCTCCTCAGCTGAGCGCGCTCTCTGATATCATCCGAAGGCCTCCTGTCGAGCGTTCCGCGGTTATTACCGTTTACTACACCTTGAAGGGCCAGTCCAGCCCTAACAACATTTACAAGCTTGAGTACTGTCGGTTTCTTCGGAGAAGGGCGAGAAGCAGCTTTGGTGGCCGGCGGAGCAGGAGGCGATTTTACGGTCTTTGGTGTTGGAGCAGAGAAGCGGACAGGTGGAGAAGACGGCATGTACGAGACCGACAAAGCCGAGTCTTCTACGAGAGATTCCTCGTTAGGCTCAGGCTCTGGTGGTGGAGCACTCGGAAGATCGATAGATTGTTTAGCTTTCTCGGTAGCGAAGTTAAGCTGCCGAGAAGGACCTTTGGCGGACTGTTGTTGCTGGTTCGCAATCGCCTTTCGCGCGAGAGGGCTACTCAGAGCAGCTTGCCTGCTTGGTAGTGAGTCTATGGAGACCATGCTGAAGTTCTCGCTGTTGATCATTGTAGTGTCACCGACGACGTCTGGAACCGTGATATCGGGCACAGTGACGTCGGGCATGGTCATTTCAAATCCACCATCATCCGAGTATTCCTCTTCTTCCTCATCATCCTCATTTTCTTCATCTTCCTGTTCTTCCCCGTCTTCATCTTCTTCCCCTTGCCCCTCTGCGGTCTCCTCGCTTTCGTATTCATAGTTACTAGTCATGGCGCGCCACATTTCTGCGTCTTTTCCGGACTCTGACGAGTTGTGTCTCTCTGTGTCGGCCGCAGGGCCTTGAGGTTGCTGGACCGGTCCACTGGTTTCCGCGGCAGCATCGCTAAGCCTGCGGCTGAGCCGCGTTGACCTTCTACGTCCAATAGACGAGGCTGGCTGAGATGCAGGATCCGGCTCTCCGAACGGAGATTCGTTTGAGTTGTGATAATTTCTCTCGGGAACGGGTGTTCCCTCTGTTGATCTCGGGCCATACATAAGCGTCGCCCGGATCGGCTCAGGCACTTGAGTGTCTTTTGCTGTGCTCTTTCGAGATTGTTGGCGGTTTTTGGGCGGAAAAGTGGCATCATTGAAGGACGAGTCGCTTTCATCTTCTGGGCTCTTCGTAACAGACTTTCTTCTCCTGCGGATTGGTGTACCATTACGCTTCTGCGTGGCAGGAGGCGCGGTGTCGGACTTTCTGGGTCTTCCTCTTCCTTTTTTAACTGGTGACGAGCTTTCCAAACCTTTTACGGGAATGGTCGTAGTTTTCGTCTCAATACGGGTAGAAGGACGCTTGACCGTGATGCAGTCGTCATCGTCATCTTGTTCTGCTTCCACAGTGACTTTGATACGCCACGGAGAAGCTCCTCTGCCTCCGGGGGTAGACATGGTCAGAGACTTGGAAGGGGTAGTCCTTTCATGGATGGGCCTGTCCAAGAACGGATCGGAAGCTGCCACGTTCGGAGAGCGCGGTGCCAAAGGCTGGGCAAACCTGGACGTCCTGCGCGTCGCTCTGCCCTTTCCAGGAGCTGGGCTTGTCGCGAAAGTAAGTGGGTCTGGAGATGACGCGCCCGAGCTAGGGTCTGCAAGCGAGTTTGCTTTTGGTGGCATGGTGAATTTTGGTTGCGACTACCTAGGTCGGAAATGGTGAATGTTCGGAAGACTTTTCAAAACACAAAGATTGAACAGTCCACAGACGCAAGAACCGTGGGTATTCTGGACCAGAATTAGCTATGTACCTATGGATTGACAGCTGCCTGGAAGAGATCTGTATGTGGATGGAGGCTGTGTTTCCCTCTCGGTCGGAAGTCAAGAGGGAAAGAGCTCCCAGGCCTTAAACCCCCACAGATTCCAGTCTTCGCATAGCCACTTCCGTACTTGGGGAGACAAAGGCACCAGAAGGAAGGAAGAGAACTGTCACATGCGCAAAAGGCAGTTGCTAGTCTGCGGCACTTACAACAAAAAGACACAAAAGATGGGAAGTTGCCGCGCAGCGGACCTGATTGTTTCCCGGTATGCGAAGCCAGAGGTGGCTGCTGGAAAGGTTAGTGTCGTCGTTGCGGGGTGTTGTTGTCGAAGAGCAGGAAGAAGTGGGTTATCGGCGGTTGCCATTGTTTTGGAGATCGTCTCCACGTAAACAGTGGCAAAACTCCGGCTGCCTTGACAACCTCCGGGTGCCTGCTCGCTCAGCTTGCTGCTGTCGCAACGCTTCCCTCGTGCATTGCCTGCAATGCTGCAGCGATGGGGATCACTGGGTAAGCTTCACTTACACTGCTTCAACTTCGACACACTGACGTTGACGTAGTATTTACAAGGAAATCGGTGTTGGCGAACGCGTTGCCCTCTCGAAGCTCGCCGTCGAAAAGTTCGAGCAGACCGGCCGCCCTCTACGCATTGCGATAGACACGTCTATTTGGCTCTTTCAGATCCAGTCCAGCAAGGGTAAGCATCTGTGGTTGCTTGGTTGGCAATGGTTCTAACACCTTTCGCATTCCAGGCGGGACCAACCCGGCACTCCGAACGTTCTATTACCGCTTGCTACGACTTCTGTCTCTCTCGATTCACCCAATATTCATATTCGATGGACCAAACAAACCCCCGTTTAAGCGCAACAAACGCACCGGCCCCAACGTCGCATCTATACCTGAGTTCCTCGCCAAGCAATTGTTGAAACAGTTTGGCTTCCCAATTCACCTTGCGCCGGGTGAGGCCGAAGCAGAGTGTGCACTGCTGCAAAGAGAAGGAATTGTGGATGCTGTGCTCACTGAGGATGTGGACGTCCTCATGTTTGGTAGCGGCATGTCCTTGCGCAACTGGACGCCCGAAGCCAGGTCGAGCAAAGTGCCCACGCACGTAAACCTGTATGACGCGCAAAAGATTAAGGCTGGTCCCTCCGGTCTAGACAGGGAGGGCATGATCCTGGTGGCGCTCATGAGCGGCGGCGACTATTTGCCTGAAGGTATACCCGGCTGCGGTCCGAAGATCGCATGTGAAGCGGCAAAGGCTGGATATGGTCAGAAACTCTGCGCAATTTCGAAACGAGACACTGTGGCTATACAACAATGGAAAGAAGAGCTCGTGCATGAGCTACGCACCAACCAAAGCAAGCACTTCAAACGAAAACACATGGCACTCACAATTCCCGATGACTTTCCCAGAGCGGACATTCTAGGCTATTATACGAACCCAGCGATATCTTCACGGGAGGGCATAGAGCGGCTAAAATCCAAACTCAAATGGGACCAGAACCTCGATTTTCCGGCACTTCGTTCGTTCACAGCCGATGCTTTTGACTGGGTGAAGCTTGGGGGGGCGAAGAAATTCATCCGCAACCTTGCACCTGCACTTCTCGTTCGACACCTTCGCATGCGCGGCCAGCTTGAAGCCACAGGCTTCGAGACGCCTGAAGCGCTCGAAGCTGCAGAGTCCAAGCTAGTAGCCAGCATTCATGGCACGCGGCAACACCCCTCTACCGACAACACGGGCGAGCTTCGCATTGCATACACGCCGATCAACGTCGTCAACATCGACCTCAGCATCGAAGAGCCTGACGATGAATTAGAAGAAGCCAGTTCGGCAGAAGACGACATGCCTCCTGCCGACGATGACAACTCACCAGACAACGAGCCCGCCCCAAAGCGTGGTCCCTCCCTATACGATCCGAACAAACCCGAAAAAATCTGGATCCTCGAGTCCTTCGTCAAAGTGGGTGCGCCACTCAAAGTACAAGACTGGGAAGAAGCCCAGCGCAAGAAAGCATCGGGCAAGCGGACCACAGCAGCAGCGAAGACAGCCAAGCCAAAAAGGGCTGCGAATGGCGGCATGCAAAGAGGTGCGTTAGACCGCTACACGACCATCACGAAGCCTGGAGTCGCCAACACCCGTCGCGTCGGGAAAACAGACAGGTCCACTAGTGTCGAGAAGCTAGATCTCTCGCACACCGAGCCGTTGAAGCAGTTTGCGCGGGTCTCGAAACCGGGTGTTAGCGCAAGAAAGGCTCCTGGCAAGCAGAAGTCCCCCAGCGTGGAGAGATTGGATCTATCAGGGCCGCCTCCTAGCATAGAACCTCCGCAAGCGCAATGGAGTTCGAGAGCAAGGCGCGCTGAACCAGATCTGCCGGAGCTCAACGATCTTGCACCAGTGCCAGCGCCAGCGTTAGCACCAACGCAAGCACCAGCACCGGTAAAGGATACAGTCTGCATCGACCTCTTGTCATCCTCTCCCGCTGCCAAAAAAACCGCATCACCACCGCCACAGCCGAGCCCTCCCGTTGCCACTGACCCTCCTCACCTCGACGAGCACTATCTCTCCCCGAACGTAACGAAGCGCGCACGCCGAAATTTGCGTCGGACGGAAAGCGCACCAGTGAATCAGCAGCACGCTCTTCCGAGCACCGAGCCACAACAACCACCTATAACCCAGAACCCCGCCGGCGAACTCTTTACCTCGTCCGCTTCTCCAGCTGCCACTGCGCCGCTCTCCCTCTTGCGTGCTCTCGCGCCTCCCCAGCGCTCGCGCACTAGTGTCCGCAGGAGCGCGAGCGCCAGCAATGGCGTTGCCAGCAAGACTACTAGGAGCAAACGGGGCGCATCGGCCGGTCAGACCTCTCCACCTACAGAGGGCGTTGTGCCGCACGCGCCGCATGAGCGTCAACAGCTCACAATTGAGCAAGCATTTCTTCGCCGGTCGGCGAGCGAGTCGCCTAGGAAGGTGCGGCCGAGCCTGAGGGCTCCAACGCCGTTGCCGGGGATCGAGGAGGTAGACCTGACGGAGTCATCACCTGTTAGGGCCATTGCTCCTGTCTCTACAGCACCGACGCTGCCGGCAGTGCGCCAAACTATGGATGTTCCAATGGGCTTGGATGGCGTTGACGAGGCGGACGAGCTCCCGAGCCTGGCTGCGTTGGTTTCGGCAAGAGGTGGAGTCGAGGAGGAGGGTTTGCAAAGACCGCGACCACGACAGCGCCAGCGCGGGCGCAATCGCGATAACGAGGCTGCTGAGGCGTCGTCGGTCGGTAATACGGTGTCTGCGCCTCAGACCGCGCCACAGCTCCCTGATAGTCCGCCGCAGAAACGAAAGCACACGCCCGGAAAGGAGTTCGTACAATTACGCAGGAGCCTGGACGGGACGTGGCGGTTTGCAGGTGCAGAGGAGGCGGAAGTCGAGATGGCGGAAGGTAGGAACGATGGGGTTGGCACGGGCAAGGTCGCTCCGAAGCGTCGGGCGTGGCGGAGGAGCGAGGTCGAGGTTGTTGACTTGACTGCGGAGTAGGCGGTAAGTGTCGCTGTATATCTTAAGGCGGTACTGTGTGTATGTTCGGGGCGAGGAAGGCGGGCGTATGGTGTTTGCTTTTTTCTTTCCTAGGGTTGGGTCTGGTTCTGGTTCTGGATCGTCGAGGTAGGGTCTTCCCGGCGCCATGACACGGGGTTCGCGGGTTAGCGGTTCGTGGTTGCTGGGTGGGTTGGGTTGTGCTGTGGTTCCGGTGCGCTGGGGCGGGGCGGGCCTTGGAATGGGTAGTTACATAGTGCGTGACTGACTGGGTATGTACGTACCTGGGGCTCTTTTGTAGTAGTAGTAGTAGTAGTAGTAGTAGTAGTAGTAGTAGTAGTAGTAGTAGTAGTAGTAGTAGTAGTACAGATGAGTTGGATTGGATGCGGGGCTGGGTGCGGGGTCGTCGTGGGAGTATGTACCTATGCGTGCGCAGTTTCGATGGGATGATGAGGGCTTAGTGATGAAGCAGTGGGTGGTTGGTTTTGCGTGCGTGGTGTTGGCTTGGCTTGGGTTACGTGCAGGGAGAACCGCTGGTAACACTTCTCCCTCGGAGTGCTTGTGGCGGTTCTCCCTCTCGGAGGGACGGGATACAAAATCAACCTACCAGGCATCTGGATGCTTTAAGCGGGTGGCATTGAATCCAAGGGCGAGCGCCCGAGACGCGCTACCGAACGTGTGCCTGGGGGGGGGGGGAGTGCTGGCGGCGGTTCTCCCTCGGCCTGGGGGACAAGTGCTGGCAGCCGTTCTCCCCCCAGAGGCCTGACGCGATATTCTTTTTTCAACATCCATTCGCAAGTCGCATTTCCAGCCATCTGTACCTACTACGCACGCAACTCGCAGCCGGCCTGTCTGTCTTTATACTACTAACTACTACTACAAGCAACCAAGCAACCAAGCCCCGCCCCGCTCGTGAAGACCTGCTGTACTGCTACTCTGCAAAGGGGACGCAAAAGCAGAGAGCAAAGAAAGAAAAGAGCCGTTTTCGGTTGTGTGTGATTTTGTGGGTTTTGTGTTTGTGATCGTGAGAGCCTGAGGAAAAAGCAAGCCAAAGCCCTTAAAGCCAGAGCCAGAGCCAGAGCCAGAGCTAGAGCCAAAGAAGCTGAAAACTGAAACCAGGAGCTGAAAGCAGGAAGGAGAAGGGAGGAAGCAGAGAGAAAGCAGAAAGGTTAAAACGAAGAAGCAAGTAAGCAAGTTAATCAAGTAATCAAGCAAAGCCAAAGAGGTAGAAAAGCAAAAAACTGACAGCACAGGTAGAGAAGTCGTTCCTATGTTCGTGTTCGTGTTCGTGTGCAGAGCCAATACAGCTATAGTCGTAGTTGCGTCGTAGTCGCGTCATTTCGTGCTGTGTCGAGTTGCCAATATTTTTTTTGTGGTTGTTGTGGTTTTTGTTGTGCTGTTGTTTTCGTGGTGGTGGTTTGCCGAAGCAAGTAGGTCGAACAGACAAAGCAAGGAAAGGAAGGAAGGAAAGAAGAAAAAGGACGAAAGGGTAAAGGAAGAGAAGCAAAAAAGAAAGGGGGTGAGAACAAAGAGAAAAGCAAGCAATCAAACAACCCCTCACACCCCACCCCTCTTCCTCTCCACCCACCCCTCCCACGGCATCGCCCTCCCCCCCGCCAAGCGATCCAACATAGCAAACTGCCAAGCATGCATCTCCGTCTTCCCCAGCCCCTCACAAACACTGCCTAGATCCAGCTGCACCATCACCTCCCTTCCACGCAGCACCGTCTGCCCAGATACAGCCGGCTGCTCGCGCACGACACGGCAGGTCAGGGGCGTGCCGCCTTCGTGTGCACCAACACCACCAACACTACCACCAACGCCGCTGCTAGAGCCACTGCCGCAGAAACTCAGACCCGGCGTCTCAAACCGCTCCGAGTAACTCGGCGTCGTAGGGCCCGTGTTGGCAGAGCCAGAGCCAGGGCTGGCGTATGCGCTCTCCGTCGCGCCGAGCACGAGATACTGCAGCAGCAGCTCGCCCTCAGCGAAGGCGTCCGCGACAGGGTGCCAGCGATGCAGGAGCGTGGCGGGGGTGTCGATGCCGTGGAGCTCTAGGAGGGGCAGGGCGCGGCAGGGGTCTGCGCGGGCGCGGAAGACGTGGGCCGTGTTGAGGAGGTGTGTGGTTTGTACGGTTTGTACGGCCAGCCCTGAGGTCCCAGGGGTGGGCGTGGTTGTTGTGTGTGGCTGTGGCTGGGGCTGCGTAAGCTTGACGAGCGGCGAGCCCGTCACGTACGGGTTGATCAGCAGCGGGTTTATGGCGGTGGCGTTCTCGTCGCCTCCATTTCCAGGGGCAGGCGCCGGGCGCGGCATCCAGAACGGGTCCTCAAGGGTCTGGGCGCCGAACGCGTTGAGCGGCTGCTTACGTGCGCTGGGAGCCCCGGCCAGCGGCGCGCGAAGCTGGGCCGTCTTTGGGCGGAGCGCGGTGGGGTGGGCAAAGGTGCGCGAGCCGGCTGTGCGCTGGGTGAAGCCAGCCTCGTGCTGCGTGAAGCCAACAGAGCGCTGCTCAGGGCACGTCCACAGCGCAGGACGAGTAACCTCTTCAACACAATTACGCGTGATATACGCAGACGGGAACGCGAGGACCTGCCACGGCTGGTCCGGGAGCTCGTTAGAGACGGTGTTCCCGTTGATATCGATGACCGGGTTGGCGGAGGAGTGGGCGCGCTTGCGGCGGAGGTAGGCGGGGGGGTTGGTGCTTGTGCTGCTGCTGCTGCTGCTGCTACGGTTCTTCTGGGGGCGTAGTCAATTGTGTTTTCGAGGGAGGGGGACTAGACAGTACCTCTTTGATCTCGAACCAGGTCCAGCGCGTCGTCAGTGTGTCGGGGTCGGTGATGAAGGAGTCTGCTTGAACAACAACGTCAGTTCGAATTCTTTTCGTGTTCGAGGTGTTGAGTGAGAGCGCAGTGTGTGTAGGGAAAGGGGCTGTGGCAGGCTTACCGTCAGAGTACTCGCCGACAACATCGCACTCCCACAGCTTGATCTGCGCAACATTGCCCAGGTCAAAACGGCAAATTTCCGTCTTCTCCTTCTTCCCCGGCCCCTCGGCCAAGACGACCAACTCGGCTATGTCGAGTTGGCGCGGCTTCGTCACCCGCGGCGAGATGCGTCTGTTGCTGGAGGCCTCGAGGCCAAAGGCCCACCACTCGGAGAGCCGGTCTGCGAGGCCGGAGACGCACCACTCGGCTGGGACAACGCCGCCGGCGAGGCTGCTGAAGCGCTGGGGGTGCGTGCTTGCGTTCTGCTGGGGGTGGTTGGCGTGCGCGTCACCTGCGGCGCCGTTGGGGCGCGTGGTGCTGGAGTAGATCTCAAAGCGAGGACGCTTCATGGGACGCTCGCCGAAGCCTTCGTCGGCAGCAACTGTTTCCGATTTGAACAGCTTGTGGTAGTCGAGCCTCTGCTTGCTGGCGGTATCATCGTTGCTCTCATCGTCGGAGTCCTCGTTGTCGGAATAGTACGCTTCACTGCTGAACCCCCGAGAGTGTTCATCAGCCACATCAACGAAGTTGATGGAGAGGCCTGGGTGAGCACTTGGGCCCTGGATGTTCGAACGTTCGTCTTCGAAGTCAGAGTCAGAGTCATAGCCTCCCTTCTGGACGCGGCAAGGAGCCACATTTTCCTTGTCAGACTCAGAACTGTCAGCGCTAAGCCAGGCACTCTTGGGTGAGATGGGCCTCTGCAGGTGGTCGTGAACCGGCACTGAAAGAAGGTTGCTGGGATCGACTTCACTCTCAAACTCTTCCGTAGAGAGAACAGTTTCGCGGCCATGACGCGGCGTCGGAGAGGCGATTTCATAGTCGAATGGGTGAGGGCGGATTGAAAGATTGCCATGAGTGCGGTAGCCGCCAGTGTTAAGACGAGGAGAGCCGAATGCGTCAGTCGACATCATGGTGGCCAGCGGGCTGCGGGACTGGGGAACGATGCCCGTCTTGATATCAACGTCGGGCGCCCGAGGTGGGAGCGGCAATGGCAGTGGCTCGTCCAGCTTCGGCCTGGAGACGAGCTTTGCGAAGTTGGGTACCGACTTGACCGTGCGACAGAGGAAGTGCTCCAGCGCCTCTGGATCCGGGAATGGTGTCGTCGGCGAATCCATGTTGGTCAGATGCGAACGCTGGAGTGAGTTGTTCTGAGTGAAGGGGTGTGGAGAGGGAGATGTTGTGTCTGGAAGTTGAAGACAAGGCGAGCACACTTGGGTACAAGAGCTTGTAGGCGCAACGTTGGTGGAACGAAGGTTGAAGTTGGTTGACGTGCGCGCTGTGATATAAGTAGAAACCGGCCCGTAGGGAAGCGTCTTCAAATAGAAGGACTTACATGTTCAATAAAGGACAGAGTACCACACCAAAGGAAGGGTCTGTGTGGTGGTGAGGTCAGTTGGTGGAGGAAGAAAGGTGGGTAGGCGGGCGAGGAAGAACTTTATACACGCGTTAGTGCGCGTCCTGCCTGTTATCAATTTGGGAAACAGCACTATCAGTGACGTGGGACATGGGCACGGGCAAGAGCACAGGCAACCAGTGGGACGCGTTGTGACGGTAGAAAGGAGAGAGAACAGTAGACAGGCCTCTAGGCATTATTCAAGCCCTTTCTCTCTGCCGCTTGCCTAATAGGGTAAGGCGTTACCCTATGGTGAGAATTTGGGATAAAGTTACCTTCACTGACAAGATTCTGGAGCAACATCATAGTTAACACCACCTTCCACTGCACTACCGTCTGAATTAGCAAGACTATCTCGTTGTAACACCAGAGTACAGGTAGATTAACATCCATCGCTTCTACAGCTCATCCTCACCTCCACCCTTTCCTTTCACTGAGAACTTGTAAACAGCCTCGAGCGTGTACGGGCTATCGGCAGGACCAAAGATGTTCTTCTTCTCGCGCTGCCACTGCGGCTGGTTGATTGAATCAATCCAGTCCTCGACCTCCATAACAACGCAGCCATAAGACTCGACTACGCGCGGCCTCTCTTCATCATCAAAGAAGCCTTGCGTCTTCTTGAGCGGCAAAGTGCCTGCATCATGTCAGTATATATTCCCTCTCATCTCAGCAACGCAATATCATACCGTTCTGGCCACTGCACGAGAAGATCTGGAAAGCCTCCTGATCGGTGAAGACGTCGACTTGGATGCCGCTGAAGTCGCTCGACAGCGACGCAACGGGGCCCTTCTCGCGCCAGTCGTACGCGCCGTCTTGCGCGCGGTTGACCAGGTAGCACGTGTCGTAGCCCTTGCAGCCGGTGCCGCAGTTGCCTTCAATTTCTGGGTCGTCGAAGCTGGCACCGATCTGCTTGGGCGCGCTCCAGAAGTCGTTGACGGAGCCCTTGAGGTTGGGCAGGATGTCGCCGTTGGGAATCAGGATGCCGTCAGTGCCGACGCGCTGGCCCGAGTAGGGCAGGTGCAGCGTGTGGTTGAGCGCCGTGGCGGTGTCATTATTTTGGAATCCGTCGAGGTTCCAGTATGTCTGGCGTGTGTTAAGATGGATGTGTTATCGAGGTCGCAACAGATACTTACGTGTGAACTGAGCATAATGGGCGTCTTCTTCGTCAGAGCCGTAGCAGACATCTTCAGATGCCATTGATACGGGGTAACGGTGTACGTGACATAGCTTGAGACGTCGCCCGGGAAGCCATTGGAGCCATCCTTGTCAAAAAGAGAGAAGGTAATCGAGTCCGAAGTGTGAGAGACGACAGTCCAGTTCCTCTGCGCATCGTCAGCAAAGCCCCAAGGAGCCACCCAGCAACACGCACCCAGTCCCAGCCATCAGCGCCACCGTGCAGCGTATCCACGCCGTCATTCTCATTGAGATCGGTATGGTATTCCACGCCATCGATCTCAAACGTGCCGTTCTTGATGCGATTGGCATAGCGACCTGCAAACAAGCGTCAGCCCAGCCGCCAAGGCGATCCGCCGCAAACGTACCCGGCACGCTGCCCAGATGCGGGTGCTTTGTGTCCTCGCCATAATAGCTCGCATTGTCAAAGCCCATGACGAGGTCGCGCTCGACGCCACTCGAGTCGTTGACGAAGAGGTTCGAGATACTGGCGCCGTACGCGATGAAGTGGGCGCGGATGCCCTCAGCCGCGATCTCGTACTTGCCGTCGGCGTCCTGGGCGCGCACCGAGGTCGCGAGCAAGGCCGCCGCGGTGGCCAGCAGTTTTTGCGCGAGCATTGGGGGCCAATTGGAAGGGTAAAGGGGAAAGGGGAGAGAGAGGATAGAGAGGAAGCAGCAACGGCAGCAGCAGCAGCAGCAGCAGCAGCGATGACAACGACAACAGACGAGCGAGTCAGTAGTCGGCTAAAAGCAGCGAAAGCAAACAAAAAGCTACCAAGCTACCGCAGCTGCAGGAGGAGGAGATGGGAACAAGGCGCCATTTTGAATGCCTCGCGCAGCGGGCCTGACGCGCACTCCCTACCTAGCTACCGCAGCTGCCAGGCTCACCAAGGCAGCAGACCGGCACTGCATACCTATGGCGTGCTCCCCAGCACTGCATGCATAGCGGCCAGTCCACGCGCATGTTTCCCCGCATCAGCAGGGATCATCAGGGACAACACGTGCACCGCAAACAACCACAAATATTACCTGGTTCCATTGTTCCCTCTCCAGCGACTCGCTAGGCATCATCACTACGTGTGTACGTTGTTCCCATACGAGTAGAAACAAAAAGGAACAAAACAAAACCACTATGTACCCGCCCTTGCCTCCACCATCCCATCCCCCGCGACGCCACCTCCTCCGCTCCCGTCGAAGGATTCCCGCGCAACGTTGCGCCCATGGCGTCAGCGGCGTCAGCGGCGTAGCTGCGTAGTAGCGTAGCGGAGTATGTAGCCTGGTGCGGCGTATGTAGAGTAGAGTAGCCCAGTTGCGGCGTAGCCTGGTGCGGCGCAGCGATCCCTCATCTCTCTTTTTTTGCGGGGAGCGCATCCTCGCCTGCACACGAGCGGGGCCTAGGCTCTCAACCAATTGAGCCGCGGACATGGGATAAGCTGACCCTCGGGGTAGAATGAGCTGAGCTGAGCTGACCCTCATTCCCGCTGCCACGCTGCAACGTTGCTTATGTATATTGGTTTTATTGATTTTCCCCGCAGCGCTCGCTGGTCGGCGGGATTTTTTCCGCTGCGTGAGCGCGTGGAGACGAGAGAGAGCCGTCTACATGCATGGGTGGGTGCATACTAGGTATAATAAGGCCGTGATGTCACTACGAGTGTGACATCCATGGGTGTGATGATGCGTGCATGAGTACTGCGGTCGGAGAGGTAGATATCGTGGATATCGAATCGCTTCGCCCTATAAGTACCTAGATGCAAACGCTCCCTATGTATAGACTGCAAGTTCTTCTTATAGGTAGGGCTCTAAAGTTTTTACGCCGTAAATCGTTACAAGATTTTCCTTTCTGATTGGATAGTGATAGTGCTTGTGATGCATGCATGCGTGCATGTCTAGTGCTAGTTCTAACACAAAAATGACTTGTATGGTTGCTTATGATAGCAAGCGTGACTTCGTGAGCTACTTGCACATCTACACATCTACATACCTCCAATTGCAACAAACCATAAGCGCACCAAACCCAACCCACACCCATTCCACTCACACTCTCACAGCACAACACAACGAACGCCCTCCAACCCCACAAAGCCTAACCAGACAAACAAAGCCATCCTTAATTCGCATTTCCTTTTCGCTTCTCATATCCATCTCTAGCTAAGAATCCAGCTGTTACTTCTTACTTGCTACCAGCTATCCCCAATCCCCATCTTCAGTCGTAACCGTGACCGTGACCGTCACTGTGACTTTCTCTTCTTTGCTCAGCGAACTCATACAAGAGAAGAGCTAAAACAGAGCCAACCGCCGCCGTTGCCGCCGTCGCCGTCGCCGCCCTATCTACCTGCGCAGCGTCCACATCTTCCGTTCTGGCTCCTGAGACTGTGGTGATGTAGCTATGCAGCCAAGAAGGCAAGCAAGAAGCAAGAACCTCGCCAGCCACTCACTCACTCACTCACTCTCTAGTAGCGGTCATAGCCACCACCGCCTCTTCCACCCCTACCACCACCACGGTGGTATCCGCCACCCCTACCACCGCCTCCGTGGCCCCCATGGCCCCCATAACTAGGCCTGTACTGATCGTCCTGCCTCCCACCACCATTGCCACCACCGGGCCTGTATTGGTCGTCTCTGCGCCCGCCGCCACCATAACCGCCGCCCTGGTAGCCTCCTCCTCCTCCTCCGCCGTACCCGCCTCCGCCACCTCCATACCCTCCACCGCCCTGGAATCCAGGCGGCGGTGGCGGCGCCCAGCCATTCATGGCCGCGAGATGCGGTGGCGGAGGCGCGCGGCCCATAGCCGCAGGGTCGAAGCCGGGGTTCAAGTGCGCAGCGAAGGGGTTCGAGTAGTTGATCTGGCCATCGCCACCGTTACCGCCACCGCCACCGTTGCGGTTATTGTTGTGGTGGCGCGGCGGCCGTCCCGATCCTGGCCCGTTGTTGTACCTGTTCTGGTTGTGCGAGCTGTAGCCGCGGTCGTTACCGCCGAACGGCACGCCGCCGAAAGAGCGGCCGGTGCGGCCTGCACGGGAGCGCACCTGTTCCAGCTCGCTGCGGTCGACGGCTTTGGCGGGGAATTGCACGCCTCGGAGGAGCATGGACTTGTGGATGTGGTTGGACTTTGGCATTTCGTAGTGCACACTGTGAGAATTAGTTAGCAGTGTTTCCCAGGTAGGGAATGGGAGTGGGATGGAATGAGGTGGGACTTGCCTGATGGACTGGTCTTCGTCGATGTCGGGCATGCCGCCCGAGGGCAGGGGAAACGTCAGCGCGCTCTGCGGAAGGTAGTCCTCATTCTTTTCGATCTTGCCGGATAAGCCTTCACTGATCTTCGGGTCGAGCTTGTAGTTAGGTGCGCCTTGCTTCTTGGAATAGAAGTTCGTGACGACCTGCTCGTACAGAGGGTGACGGGTGGAGAAAAGCAAAACGTCTTTGCCGAACTCGTTCCGTGCATTTTCCTCGTCAGTTAAGAGAGGGTACTTAGTGGCCATCGCCTTCAAGAGTCTCTTCTCGTCAATGAACGGGAGAAGAGCAACACCCTGCCAGGCAAACTTTTTGCCATTGAGATCGACGGGGAAGTCTGCCGGATAGAAGTCGACAATGTCGCTGTCCTCGTCTGTCATCAACGACCTGAAAACCTCAGGCAGTGTGTGGTTCGACGCAGCAGGCATGACACCCATCAGCTGCTCATATGGGCGGAATATATTTCCCTTTTCAAACTTGATGTCCATCTTGCCAATATCGACAAAGTCTGCCGCGAAAGGAGCATAGTGATGAGGATAGTACCAGGTCCACGAAGGACAGCCCTGGAAGTAGTAGAGCAAAACCCATGCGAGGCCTTCAACATAATCCCGAGCGACCTTGTGTCTGAACTCCATGTCCTTGGGATCAACATGGAACTTTTGCTCGTAATACCGGTCGGCATAACCCTCTTCCCACAGCCTAACGGTATCCTCAGGCGGCGCATCATCGTCCTTGGGCTTACTCGGAGTGCTGTCAGGGTCCGGCGATTTACGGCCGGGGGTGCCAGCATCGGTGTCTTCCTCGATTGCTTCCGCCTTTCTCTTGGGAGCAGTGGAAGGTGACGTAGTGGTGCCATCCTCTGCGGGCGTCTCGGGGGCCGAAGTGTCGGGCATCGACTCGTCTGCATCGCCATCCGTGCCTGCTTCAGTGCCATCAGGCGCGGCGGGCTTGTTGCCCATAAGCCCTTCTTTCAGAGCTGCCGCAGCGCTCTTGTTGGCCTGATTAGCCTGGAAGATGGCCTTCCTGTTAACAAAGTTGTCGTGAGTCATGGACCGCGCCTGCTTCGACTGCAAATCCCCAGGACTGAAGAGGGGCATATTGGCAAAGTTCTGTGACGTTTCTGGCTTCGCACGTCTGCCGGGAACTTCACCGCCACCAACGCCTTCGGTGGAGTATCTCCCTCCCCTCCGTCCATGACCTTCCTGCTGCAGCTTTCTCCGCTTTGCAGCTGCCTCTTTTCTATCCTCTGTCTGTTTGCGACGCTTGAAAATTGCATCCTCCTGCTTCGCCAGACCGTTGAGGATGAGCTGGGCCCTTTCCAGGTCAACATGGCCATCCTTGGTAACATATCCACCCATAGCAGGAAGATTGTCACGCCAGATAGCGATCAAGGTGTCAATGCCTTGCTCCCTGATGTCTAAACTAGGAAGATGCGGCAGGAAATCATTTCCAACAAAGAAACACATAAAGACCCAGTCATCCAAAGCACGCTCGAGATCGAACGCAAACGGCTGGTTGGGCACATGAAGTTCGGCCTCGAGATATTCGCGAAGAATCGAGACGTGAAGCCAGATAAAAGGCTTTTCTTGAACAGGGTTTTTCTTGACGTCGTGCTCGTCTTCCTTCTTCTTGGCTTCGCCCTTGCACTGATCCGTGTAATGCCCGGTCTGGCCACACCGCTTGCAAGTTCTTTGTTTAGCTTCTTGAAAGAAGACGTCTTCACGCAGCACACGGAAATGCGGTTCGTGAGTAGCAAGACCCAACATAATTAGATCCGCGTCGAGTCCGTAGATGACATGACGCGTGTTCGGGTCATGGTTAGGAGAGCGCCTCTGAGAGCGGACAAATTCCATAATCTTGTGCTCTCCTTCTCCGGGAACAGTCGCATCGGAGATGATAATCTTGAGTTTTTCCCAGGCAGGGTCGGTATTGAGCTTGTATGCAATCCAGTACCGAAGACTGGCCGCAAGAATGGCCATGAAGGGCGTTCCGGGAGTAATAGAGTTGCTGTCCCAGGTCTTCTTGACAAGAGCTGCCTGAACCTCAGCATCCAGAGCGCCCTGGTCATGCTTGGCCTTCAGCATTTTGATAAACTCCGCCTTGTCTTCATCCTTCTCCTTGGCTTCCTGGGCCGATCGGAAACGACGGGAACGTTGCTGGTTCATTTTCGCACGGGGAGCGACACCATCTAGAAAGTGTTAGCAAACTGGACTATCTCGTGAGACTGGGAGTGGCCGAAGAAAAGCAGTCGTACCCCCTCAGCGACTTGTCATCCGATGTAGGAAGGAATGAAGCTGTCCTTGGGGGTGTACTGCTTTTCACAAAGCTGCGCGGCGGACATACCAACGGCGATCATAAGAAGCTTCCTCGGTCGCACCATGTTCACGACGCGCTCGGTGTACTTGAAGACCTCAATCATCATCTCCTCCTCGTTGGCCGGAGCCGGGCGGTCCTCTGGATGCGAACATGGATGGACGATACCATTCATGTCAAGATAGAGGTTGTCGAACTCCTCGCCATTGGGGTTGGCCTTTGTGGCATCGACGGGGACCTTGTTGCCATCGCCATAGTCGATCGGCTGTTCCTCGATGACGGGCGAGATGATCTTGGGGTACTTTTGCGACAGCCACCTGAAAAGCGCGGGAACACCCATTGTGGCGGTGGATCTCGCGTGACGAGAGCTGGAAGGCGCGAGGCGGTGGTGGAGGTGACGCTGACGAGACCGCTTGCGGTGTCAAAGGAACGAAGCGTTCGGGGGCGCGTTGAGGGCAGCGCCCAATGTGAGAAGCTAGTTGTAGGTCGCGCGCGCTGCGAGCATTCCGCGGGAGAGCCTGAGGGGATGTCGTGGGCGATCGGGTCAGCGGCGATGGTTGCAAGCAGCTTGCGACGCGACAGTCGCCCGAGACTTCGAGATGCGCGGTCGAACTTCGGGAGCGCGCGCCCACGGGGCACGGGCCTTCCCTAGCCCCCGCCACGCTGCCCCGGATCTGCTGCATGTCTTTTCGCATTGCTTTTGCTGGTACGAACACCGCAATGCAGCGTACGAGGAGCCACGGGTATGGAGGAGCACAGCGCTTCAAGTGTTCGGTCCTCTCTGGGAAATTTCTGATATACTTCAACCAATGTTGGGAAACCACCTCCCCAGGCAACACAAGCCATGATTGACCTCCGGTATGTACACTTGCAGGTTCTGCTTCATTTCCAGACAGGCGTCGTTATGTTACATCATGGATTCAAAGAAGGACAGTAGGCAAAGACGAAAAGGTTGTTACACACAGACTTTTACAGTTTAGATATTGAAAAGTTGACAACCTCAGATAAGAAAATTGAAGAGATTGGACACGAGCAACACAGCTGAGCACAGCTATTAGAAGTCTCACTGCGCAAAACCCTCTCGCAGTCCCATACCTAACTCCGCTTCTCCAACTTTCTCGGCTTCTTCTTTCCAGGCTTCGGTGCGTTCCGCTTCGGCGTCTCAGTCCCCGATGTTGTTGCACCTTGCTCCTCAGCCTTAGGCTCAGACGTATTTTTAGCCTTAGGCTCAGGCGTATTCTCAGCCTTAGGCTCAGGCGCGCTTTCAGCCTTCTCATCCTTTTTCTTATCGCCTTCGTTATCCGCTGTCGCCTTCGACTCCTTCTCCACACCACTCTGACCACTGTCCCTCCGTTTTCCAACCTTTTTCTTTTCAGCCTGCTTCTTCTCGGTAGCCTGCTTCTTCTTCTCTGCAGCCCGTTTCTTCTTCTCCTCTATCTGTTTCTTTTTCTCGTCAGCCTTCTCTTTCTCCTCTGCCTCCCTCTTCCGCCTAACCTCCTCCGGCTCCTCAACCACAAAGTTCGCGGCTCTGCACCGCCCACCGTTCACGGGCCCCACGTCCATCGGACACGCGCTCATGACGACCACGACATCCTTCTCTGCTCTAAACTTTACGTAGCCGCCCTTCTCGCCCAGCTTGCCCCACTTGCCGCCCTCGTAGGTTCGCGGTTCTTTAACGTTGACTTGCCCACTAGAGAGTTCAGATTTCGGGTCTTGAGACTCTTCTTTCTCATTGGGAATTCCCCTTTCGTCCAAGTTCCCTTCTTTAGCTGCTGCCTCAATGCACAGGTTCATAAACAAGCTCAAAGGCGTTGGTGCATAGTTGACTGTCACGTCTGCGCCTACGGCTTTAGGGCCTTGCAGTCCCGCTTTTTGGTTTAGCTCTCTGAGAGCCATGACAAGGTTCTCTGCACAAGAACCTCGTTCCTCGTTTTGGTCCAGTCCTAACTGCTTGTACACTCGCGGGTCACAAGCGGGCAAGAGCGTACCATGCCTGCCGGCAATGCCAGCGTCATCCTCCTTTTGATCGGCCTGGGGCAACGGACTCGTGTCTTCGATGAGCGTCAGGAGCGGGGCGCGGAGGTTGGTGAGTAATGTGTCGCCGGGTATGGGCGACAAGTGATGTGTCGCAGCAAATGTGTGCGGGAGGGACAGATATTCCATCGAGTTGGAGGGGTGTTGGGACGATTGCAGCTTCGTGTAAGCAGTGTAGGCGGCGTAAAGAGAACCAGCCGTTCCGGAGCCGGTGGCAGCTGGGCGGTAATAAGGGTTAGTCTGGGTTCAATTCAGAAGAACAGCCAGGTTACGTACCTGATATGCTGGCTGCCCCTACTGGAGTTCTGGAAAACTCGTAAAGCTGCTCGGCATACGATTTTGTCGGGTCGCGATGGTGTGAGGCAGCAAAAGCAGAAATAGTGCCTTGGGAAGGTAGGTAGGAGGTATAAGACGTGCCCGACGGAAGGTAAGACAGCCAACCCCTTTTTCCTTTCTCGTTCTCTTGTGGCGGTGACGCTCCGGAATCACCCTCCTGAGGGGGTTCATCCTTGGTCCGGTTGCGAATGGACGGGATGTAGGAACCCCATGTTCTGCTCGACTTTGTCGACTTGATAGACTTGTTGTCCGCGTCGTCATCGGATTTTTCTGCTTTGTCGATCTCTTCCGTAGTCATGGTGCTTTTGTCGTCGGCAGGTGATGTTTCTTTCGGCGAACGTTTGTCCTTTGGTGAGTCTTTGACCCTTTTGGGTTGCTCTTTCGAGGCATCCGTCGCGTCGGTAGACCGCCCTTTCGTGCGCCCGCGCAGTGAAGGTACATAAGAGCTCCATCCTTTTCGCGGGGTCTTCCCCACTTCATTTGGAGGTTTCATGGCTTCGTTTACGGCGTCGGTGGCAGAGTTTTTGTTTGTCTCGTTCTTTTCCTTTTCCTCCTTTTGCTCATTCTTCTCCTCCGAGGACTTGGTTTCAACTGTATCATCTTTCTCAGTCGTCTTTTCCTCCGATGCTTTCGTCGGATTCTCCTCGTTATTATTTTGCCCCTCATCTTCGGTAGCAGCCTCCTCTTTTTCCTTTGGCTCTTCGGATGAGCTATCAGCTGTTGACTGGCTCTCCTTGGGAATCTGTTCCTCAGCCTTTTCGGCTCCAGCACGCGAATCGTCGGTCCCTTTTTCTGTGCCTTTGGCTTTTTGCACCTGCTCTTCATTCCCTTGTTTCTCATCCTTTTGATCTAGTATTGACTGCTGTGCTTTATCAAACTCCGCTTGCGCAGCCTTTTCGTCTGCCTCAGGATCGCCATGCGGCGTCTCATGAAGTGCGAATGCCCATGTGTCTACAACCTGCGTACCGTAGGTGTTGATGATCTTGATGGAATGGCCCTTTGGCACAAACGTCGCGATGCCGTGGCGAGCAGGGATGGTTTGTCGCTCCCCCGCCATGGTGCGGAGGTCTTTGCTCTTCACGCGCGAAAGTAGGAAATCAACGCTCGACGATTGAGGTTTTGTCATTGAATTGCGAATGATGATGGTATCATACACGGAAAATTAATAGAGAAATGTTATGGAAACAGTGCATGAGATGAAGAAAATGCGAAAAGAAGCTGTCGTCTCCTACCTGTTTGCGCGGCGTACATGACGTATACGCAGCGGCCGGCCTCGACTTGCGCCGCAAATCTGGGTTTCCGCCGACGCTGCGTCATGTTACAGATGACAGAGGCGAGTGGCTGTCGAGGAACGCGGAAGTTGGACGAGCCATGTCCTGCAACCGTTTCGCGCCACACATCAACCCGGCTCGACTTGCCTGCCCGCGGATCAATCAACGGTCCGCTATCTCCGGGTCGTTTTCTGTCAAACCTTCGAAGCCTTGTCGAAGCTGACTCTAACATCAACACCTCAAGATGACGTCGTGGGATAGCGAGCTTTGTCAGCGAAGCTCTCTTACTTCCATGACAGAAGCCCAAGTTCCTGTAGTCGCAATTCGAAGCCGTCGCCCGCCATGACCGATATCAAACCATTTGATCCTACGATCCCGCAAGCCGAAGTCGATCGTCTATACCGTAAGCTCAAAGACACGCGTCTCCCGCAGCAACCAATCGTGCCGGACGCCGGAGAAGATTATGGAGCGCCTTTAGACTGGGTACACAGGCTGTACAATGTCTGGAATGACGACTACTCTTGGGAAACTGCACAGAAGGAAATCTCATCCTGGCACCATTTCACGACCAATATCGAGGACCTAACGATCCACTTCATACATGAGCGCGCCAAAACATCGCCATCTGGCTCCAAAAAGAACGTGATACCCCTCCTACTCGTCCATGGCTGGCCTGGCAGCTTCTACGAATTCTCTCGCGTCATCGAGCCCTTGACGTCTTCCCAGGGCGATGCCCCAGTCTTCGACGTTGTCGTCCCCTCGCTTCCCGGATACACCTTTTCCTCCGGTTCTCCTCGACGCGGCTGGATGCTACAAGACACCGCACGTGTCTACGACGCACTGATGCAACGGCTTGGATACTCTTCATACTGCGCGCAGGGTGGGGACTGGGGGCACTGGGTTATACGCGAGCTGGGGTCTGGGCGCTATCCCGCGTGCCGTGCAGTACACACGAACATGTGTCCCAGCGAGCCACCTCCAGGCGTAGAAGAGACTGAGCGAGAGAAGGTTGCGAAAGAACGCATGGAATGGTTTGTGGGGCGTCCGGGCTACGAGACACACATGGGATACGCGATCGAGATGCGTACAAGGCCTCAAACTCTGGGCATTGCATTAGCAGACAACCCAGTTGGGATCATGATGTGGGTCGGTGAGAAGTACGAAGAGATTGTGGATCCGAAGTACAGGAGCTTGGAAGACAAGGAGTTCGTGAACAGGCTCCTGACGACTGTTTGTCTGTATTTCTTCACGAGTCCCAGTATCATGACCAGCATGCTGTGTTACTACGAAAATGTGCGGCATGAGGACTATGTTGAGTTCAATCTCAAGGAAGAAAACAGGATCAATGTGCCAATGGGATTCTCAAACTTTAGATGGGACATAGGGCCTACTTCTGCGAGAGCGGTAGGAAGGACGGGTAATTTGAAGTGGTACAAAGGTAAGTTATTACTGCCATCCCGTTTGATTGTGAAACAACTTGCTAATAAATTTTTAGAGAGGGATTATGGCGGCCATTTTGCTGCGCTCGAAGCGCCATACGAAATGGTTGATGACCTGAGGAGCTTTTGCGGAGAATTTTACAGGGCTTAGATTGCCTGGTATATATTCGACATAACGGCCCAGGGCCTTGCGAAGTTGAGCATCATCAGCTACCGGAAAGCATTTGACATCTGAAAATCACAACATGAGGTTATAAATGAGTGGTAAATATTTTATTGGGATATCTCTTCACTCGAAGGTATGTATTTACATCTCATATCTCATCTCCTCCCTTTCATAGATCCATTTCATGTCCACAATCCCGTCCGTTGTCTTACCGCAGACGCTCCATGAGCTTCTGCAATTCAGCTTCCTTCTCGGCGAAACTGGGACCAGCCACCCCCATGGCTAGCCTCTCATGCACCCCCGGGGTCTCGTGGATGAGGCGAGTCATCATAACTGGAGTCTCCGTTCTGTCTCAACCACCTGTTAGCTATGCTTATACATCATGCCATGCTTCATAGGATAAAACAGTACTCACGGGGCCTTTCCAGCTTGGGTAGAGGTAGTGGCGCTCCTGCTGCTGGTGCCATAGTAGGCGTAGCTGGTCTGGTATTGGGTGGAGGAGGGCATCTTTGCCGAATATGGGCGAGGCGGTTTGAAAAGTTTGAGGTGTGTATGTGTGTTTATGGTGGTGTGCTGATGTCTCAGATGAAATGGTGTTTGTGGTCTCAGAAATATTGCATTCTCTGCCTCAAAGGCATCTTTATATCTACATTGCTCTACCTTCGTCGTTTTCCAAAATACTCACCTGCGCGTTTCTACTCACGTCAAATTATAGATATTCGCTACTTGGGTCTCAATCGCGCATCTGAGCGAAGAGTGTAAGTGCTTATCTGCGAATTGCGAGTTTCGCAAATGCGGGATTCCAGTCCTGCGTCTTCGTTTTCAGTCCTGCTTGATCCCGTAGCCAGCTTTTATCCTCGATGGGGCGAAGTCGCACTGCGAGGGCTGTGTTTTCTCGGACCTGCGCGTTAGCTATGCCTCCATACAAACGATGTTACATCGCAAATGCTCGTTAACCGCGTAGCAGATTTTTTCCGGGTCAAAACGAGCCAGTTTGTCCCATCTGAAATCGGTTGATAAGGGCTGTGCAAGAAGTGAGTATAAGCTGCTTATTACCCCAGGTTGTTTCACTGCCTGAGGGATAGACACGTTTAAGCTTGCGTGTCCGTACTTCAGCAACCCATCTTACTCCGCATTCGCGGCCCGCGCCGGCCTTGACCGGTCTGCGTCACTGTGGGGCGTGGCTTGCAGCTTGCAGCTCAATACCCTGTACTGTATTTACGAATATGGTCGACATTCAGCTTACGATTGTACAGGATGTTGTACAACAAGGCTTGCTTACATCCGAAAACCCTACCGATTGGTTCAATGGCAAAAACCTATCTCCTGCATTATCAATAACGTAGCTTTGCTAAGAGCACTTTACCTTTTCGATATCAACGGTGGCGACTGCTGCGCCCACAGCACGTGAACCATAACGAGCAGCTGGATTAACGCGCTTTGCGAGAAAGACAGCCTTGCGCGAGAAGTTCTCAGCCTCGGAACACAGCCCTCTTCTGCTGTCTACAAATGCCGTGGGATTTGGAGCTGCTTTCAATCCACTCCATCTTAACTCTAATTTCGGGGGACTTTTCTCTCATCTATCTGGTAATTTCCAATATTGCTTCATTACGATACGTCTACAGAGCCAAAGTTCAAGGCTATTAGAGACGAATGAGCTCAGCTTTCTCATCCGGCCCCCGACCAAATACCGTCCTGCACGACGCATACCCGAGATCATACATCCCGGGCGCTCCGGGACCCAAGCCAAGAAGCCAAGCTATATTCAATTTCGGCTGGTCAGCAGCTTCAGACTGTCATAGATAGTCTGGTCTGTACCGCGCAGCTACTACGGTGCAATGTCGAGCGCCATTCCTCTTGCACCCCAGCCAACCAAGGTTTCGTCTGTAAGCCAACTGAAAGCAAAACTGCGACGACCAACGAGGAAGCCACCTGTGTCACAAGCACCCTACCGTAACACCAGCAAGACCCGTCACTACAAGATGCGTCAGTCATCGCATCAGATGAGCGACGATTCAAGATCAAGCCCAGACACAGGCGTACCTCAGCCCGGAGTACACCAGAGTACCCCTTCTAGTGATGGGTACAATAACCCATTGCTCCGACTGAGGGAGCAGCGCTATCCAAGCAATGGGAATGCGTCGATTGCCACAACACTGTACATCACTGGCCTAGACCAACACATAACGGATGCCGAGCTGCGACTCATCTTGACCAGTGTTGGACTTTCTGAAAGTCTGGAAGACATCCAAGTAGGATTGGACATTCGTTTCAAAGGGTCCAATTACGGATTCGTCAGCTATGTTGATCCTAGAGCTGCCAGGAATGCGATGCGCTTTCTCAATGGAAAGGTTATCCACTGTCAGAGACAAATACGCACCTTTCCCGCACACCGGTTGGAAGAAAACTTGTTCTACGTACCTCCGAACCTGGACCAGGCAGATCAGCCGACCGTTTGCGAGATCTGGAACACAATGAGGGGTGCGAAAGGAACTAGAGGCCGTGGTATGGGACAGATGAGGGTTCCTATTCTGGAATTGGAGTCAACGTACCTCGAGCTCGAGCAGGGTATCTCGCAGTTTTTCAGCGTGGGTGACAAGACGACTGAACATATGTTTGGTTCTTTGCTGGGCAGAAGTTTGATTTTGCTGCTTTTGTACTGGGTCCATGTGTTCCAGCCCCAGCGATCGAATGAGCTGGCAGCCGCTCTGTCCACTCCGTCAAAGACACCTTGCTCTGAGAATTCGGACACGTATGATGAGGCGACAGACAGAGATGTCAAGGATCTACCAAGCATTGAAGCTTACAAAAACTCTTTGAAGTAAGTCATACAGCTTATTAGTTCTAAACTTTAGGAGAATTCTTGTTGATCATCCACCACAGGCAAACAAAGCCTTCCCGCAACCATCCTTCACCAGAATCTGAGATGCCGACGTATGATAAAGCTAGTTCTGGCACCTCAAGGGAGCTGCCACACCGCAGCAAGAACAACCCTTCTCGAGAGAGATCTATAGAGGATAATCAACAACGGGCCCAGCCAGTGGATATGGACATAGAATCAGCTATGGGTCCCTCATTGCGACAGCGAAGAGATCAACCTTGGAGCCCTTTTTCGTTGAGAGAAGACCCAAGCATGGAATCCTCCATTCCCGGCCTAGCTTCTGATATTCATACCCCGAAGAAAGGTCAAGGCGGAACCTCTCCGACCCAGAAGTCACAATCAGAGGATATCGAATCACAGACACCGGATGACCGGTTTCTTAACTTTGTGTACACGCTAAGAGCTGTACGAAGATTTGTGGACAAAATTCAAGAGCGGAGAGCAGAAAGACAATCCCACGACGAAGGCGAATCAACCATGGGAGCCGAAGATGAATCATTGCCTCCTGGGACGATGGCAAGTACCACATATAAACCTCATCCCGGACTTAGTACTAATATTTAGCAGCCGCCACTCGACAGATCAGGAACTGATGACAAGGACGAAATGGACAGTAATTGCTGTACATCTACGACAGATCCTTCCATGGCTACTGAGCAGGAGCACTTAGTTGAAGAAATCCTGTCGCCAATCAAACGTGAGGTTGTCGACCGGGTGATGGCCATGTACGACAAAGCTCTGGAAACAGGCTACGGCCCTCATATCGAACTTGCACACTTTATTGCAGCTGGGGAAACCTCAAGAGCCGGCGGTAACTCAACACAGACCCGGTCCAGTGATAACTCTCCGATTGCAACGCGGTTTAATACAAACCAGCGCGCAAGCGCAGGATCAAGCCTAAACCAAAAGCGAAAAGCTAAGGATAGCGGCAACTCAAGAGATGACGATGAAGATGGAAACAAGCGCCCACGACGACCTGGAATCAAACCCATTCAAGAAGAGACTTTACGGAAGTGGGCTTGTCCATACTTTCAAAGGCAGCCCAACAAACCCGTAAAATCTGCCGCTTGCTTTCAAAGCGGGTTCCCTGATATCTCGAAGCTCAAGTGAGTTGGCCTCTGTCAACAAACGAGGCCAGCAATTCTGATACAAGGATTTAGAGAACATCTTTTTAGAGTCCACCGTTTGCCTGTAATTTGCCGCAGATGCCATATGACATTCAAGGACACCAGCGAACTGGATGCACATGTCAACGCAGATGAGAGGTGCGAAAAGGCTGACGAACCATCTTTCCTTGTGGGATTTGATAGCGACCAAGAAAGAGAAATACGTGAAAGGATGAGGTCCGCACCTTACGAGGATAAGTGGAGGGCTATATACCGTATTCTCTTTCCACGGGATACCGAATCCATGATACCGTCGCCATGTAAGTACTGCACTGGATTAGCTTTCTTGATCAACATGCTTATCGTCTATAGTTTGGACAGCGACAAACGTCCTTCAAAAACAACACATCTCACAATTCTATTCTATATGCAGAGATTTCATTGGCCAAGAGGCGCGACGAATTTTCCAACAAAGGGTAGAAGCAGTGATGACTGAATTCTTCTCTGAGGGAATGCTCACCCGATTAAACGAAGCTCTGGCCGAATCAGTAGAAACGGCCTTCATTACATTCCGAGAGGGCCCCGGTGCCGAGCTTTTCGAGAGAACAAACAGCACCGACAGCGTGCCCTCGACCACAACGAATAGCCCTGATGTATCTCGGAGGCCGTCTGCACCCAACATCTTTGTCAGGCCGCCGCAAGGTCCGTTCGACACAGAGGACATCACAAGGGGTTTTGCAAATGCTCGTCTGAATTCACGACGTACTAGTGACTCTGGATATAAGTCACCAAGTGCGGTATCAGGTCCATCACAGCAATTTCCAGAAGCGATGACGAAACCTACTGGATATATGGGAAACGTTGCCGGTACAGATACGAATATGGGTTTCCCCAATGACCATGGCCAAGGGCCTTATTTGCTGGGCGCAACCCAGCCTGACTCTTCGGACAACTTCAGCATTTTCAGTTCAATTGACGGGAATGGGGAATTTGATTATTCCTACCTCAACCTTGATAATTTCTCGTCTTCAGAAAACACTCAACAGTAACGATTTCATTCAGGCGACCTGAGTCTCTAGGCTCTAGTCTTTCCTTTCCTGTTTTCTTTTCTAGTCCGTAATTCTTACAATCAAAGCTTTTCTTCCATTGCTCGCATCGCCGCCGTTGTAACCAGGTCTTGCCATCGGCTTTCCCAACTCCGCCTCCTTCTCCGCAGCTGTCGGTCCGTAGAGGTCCATGTCCTGGGCGTAGCGAAGTATCATTGGTGCTTCCGTCCTCTCACATTGAGATACAGCCAGAACCGGTTGTAACGCTTGAACTGGTCAATAAACTCAGTCTCAGAAAGGCGTTCATCGGTATATCCGGCCCGGGTTGCGTAGCCTTTCGCGTACCTTTACGTTTTATCGAGAACAACGTTGTAAACAGTCAACGCTGATCTTAACAACGGAAGCTGCTGGCCACATCGAGCGTTGTAACCAATCTAATCTGTATTAGCATGCCAATTTCCATCATTGGTCATGTAGTTGGTACTCACATCGCAGATTCCTCCTCGCGGACATCAATCATAGTACAGTGTGTGCCTAGGTAGTGTCCGCATTCAATACAGGAAGCGTAGAGCGCTTTTAGCATTGGACCGAAACCGCATCTGCAGCAGTAGTAGGCGGTGTGTGCCTGTCTGTGGTCGTGCAAGGGCGTGACGGTAGGAGGAGGAGTCATGGCAAAAAGGCTTTTTCCGAGAAAGGCGTCTTGTGCGTGAAGCGGCGTTTGGTGTGTGGTCTTGTGGCGGGTGGCTGTCTTGGGTGTCTGAGACAGAGTGACATGTTGGAGCCGCGTGCTTCTATTTATGATATGCTCCGTCTGGCTCCGTTCGGGGGTTTTGCGCGCGAGCGCAATTGCGCTGTTGAGCAGGTCCTGCGGCCGATGTATCACGCGTTCGAGCGATTTGAGCTCTTGCGCGGTTCATGCTTGGTGGGCCATTCCCTCGGGGCTGCGGTGTGGATAGCTTTGTTTCGTTCGTTGATACGTCTCAAGATCCTTGGTGGTCGGTCACGCTTTCGCGCAACTGCGTGCGACGGTGTGGCTGTGCGCTTGGAAGTACAGATGGCCAACGGTGTTGAGCTGGATAGTGAGCAATGCTTAGGACTCGGGATACTGCTTCGTTTGTTGGCGGGTGTGGCGGTGCTGAGCGGTTGAGTTGCGCATCTGCGCCTTGCGAACTTGCGCACTTCAGCCTTGCTGCAGCTTGAATGAGAGTCTTCTGTTGTTGTAGTCCTTCTCATGGAACTGCGGTTGCGCGCGGATGGCTTCAACCGGTTGGTGCTCGCTTTGGGGTTGTCTTTGGCTGTGGTCGCTGGCATGCCTGGTGGCCCGGTGCTTTTGGTAAACACTGAACATTCTCTCTCTGAAACTACAGTCGTTCGGCTTGGGACAGGTTGTTTCTCTTTGGTATGCCTATGCGTCTGTATGGGCGCAGCTCGTTCTCCTGGCTAGATTGCCTATTTCCACTTACATGGTATATCAGAATCAATCCAAGCTGGAGGAACGCTTATGCTCTCACAATTAACAAGTCAAGAGAGCATCTGGGAGGGTTGAGTAGATACCAGAAAGTGGCACTGACATCACTAGAAGTGGTGAGAGGTTTCTAGAAGGCCCTAGATTCCGTTATTGTGGCAGCGTGCGTCACTCCCTAACGACCACCACCCTCGCTTAGCGCACACACGGACCACCCCAGGCAGTATAAAAGGGCCCTTCCCCCCCCCTCCAAATCCTCTTCTTTCTTCTTCATCTTGGTGCAAGGGCTTTACGCAGACCAGTGAGGATTTCGTCCGAGGTTGCGTGTTTGCTAGTTGCAAACTACCCATTGACTGCTTCTGGTGGTCTTCGGATCGGCAGGGAATTTTTGGACACTTTGGACTGCTGCCGTCTTTTCATTGATGCTTCCGCCTTGCGCGGGACTTTGAGGAAGAACGCTCGTCTTCAACAATTAGTTGTCGCCTGGTGCGGCTAACCTACGTCGCCAGCGCGTAGTTACACGATACACCTGGGAGCCCTCGCCATCACCATCACTGACAAGATAAACAACCATAGTAAGCACATCCCTCTCTTGAAGCCATCTAGGCATGCCCAATGAAGATTTAAAGGCAATGTAATAGCCTGCCCTGCGCCACTCCACGTTCCTTTCTGCAGTTCGCCAAACAAGTCCCCGTAAAGTCGCTTTGTTAGCTTTCCCACAACACCAAACAAAGCCTTGCCACCATGCCTAAACAACAGCATTGTCTCGCATGTTCCTGAACATATATCGCACTGTCACAAGACAAGACAAATCACTGCCATCTCCAATATATAAAGCAAAGGTAAAACAACACACTCCTCCCCCACAAGAAAGCTCGCCAGCTTCAACGCACACCAAGCACTCAAAGCACGCTTTCACGCACAACGCACAGCGCACAACGGCTTCAAGAGCCACTATCCCCACTCAACACACAAGCGCAGACATGTCCGGTAGCAGGTACTACGGAGGCAACTCCAACTCCAACTACAACAGCTACAACAGCTACTCGACTCCGCGCGGCCGGCCCCTCTCCTCGCAGAACTACGACTACCCCTCCAACTCCTCCGACTCCGACGACAACGACTGCCCCCGCGTCACAGCGGCGCGCGAGCGTGCCCGCGCACAGCAACAGCAGCAGCAGCAGGACCCCGGGCTCTCCACCCAGGTGAGCGTGCGCATCCAGCCCTCCTCGCAGCGCTACTACGCACAGCAGCGCTTCGTCGACCGCGACGGGGTGCAGCACACGCGGTCGCTGCAGCTGCAGTACACGCATACGCATACACGCTCCGGGCCGACACAAACACAAACGCAAACACAAACACAAGACCGCGCTCGCAATGATGCCTCTGAGCAGCAGCTGCAGCATTACAGCCGGCACCCCGAGAGCGACGGCTCGCGCTACCCCGCCGAGACCACGCCCCGCGCCACCTCTCCGCCCTACACTTCCGCGCGCTCGCGCCCCTCCGCCTGGGAGCGCTCCCTGCGGCGGCAGCGCCTCCTCGCGGCCCCTCCTCCGCCGCCGACGGACGTGGACGTGGTCCGCCTGGTTCGGGACGCGCGCAGCTAGGCTGCTAGCGAGCAGGTGCCGCTGTTTGCGCGGTGGGGGAGCCGTGGTCGTAGTCGTAAGCCGTCTTCGCATGCTTCGCGGTCTTCGCGGGCTTCGCGGGGCGATGGTGGTGATTTGGAGGATGTGTACGGTGGTAGGGCTAGGCGGTGGTGGTAGGAATATGTGTGGGGCTGTGTATTTTGCGTAGCTAGCTGACTGTTCTTCTCTTGCTGCTGACTTGACTGACTGGGCTGGTTCGTGCCTAGAGGGGTAGCCGGGTGGGTATCTTTTTGCGGGGGCTCTGGTGTTTTTCCTTTCCTTGTTTCTTTCCTTTGTTGAGTCCTTTGTACTTCCGCCCATCGCATAGCCAAAAGACAAAAAACACACAAAAACGTCAAACCAGGCACCAAAAACGCCGAGGCAAAAAACATAGGAAACTAAAAAAAAAAAAAAATAAAATAAAATAAAAGACCAAAAGACTAAAAAGACTAAAGGACTATAATATATTATAGAATTAGATTTGTCGGTGAGTATGTATATATGTAAATATATTAGTAGGTTGTGATGTAAACCTAAGCCTAAGTAACGATACGACTCGACTATATTATATTAAAGGATTAGAAGATACGTAAGCCTGCTTTTCTTTCTTACATAGATTTACGCGCCACGCTCTACCCCGGTAACACCACCAACACCACCACAACCAACCCAAAGAACGAAGAGGCAGTGAATATCATATCATACCATATCCTATCAATCAATCAATCAATCAATCAACCACGCACCCACCGCCCCAGAAAAAACTACCCCACCAAAGTCAAACAAACTATAGTATCTACAGGAAAGAAAACGCACCCTCTACAACCAACCAACCCAAACCCAAAACAAATCATCCAAACCCGCACCCCTAAAAAAGCCAGAAAAGCCCCAAAAGATCCACCCAGCCCTACCAATCCGCCCTGACTAGGTACTGTAGATGACTAGAAATTAGACGTTACATAGCAAAACCACTGCACCCAGCCTCTCATCCGGCCTCCCACAAACCTCACTGCTTAATATCAACAGCAATGCCACTGAGCCACGTACACCGGTCGACCAGCTGCGGACCCAGCCCCGCCATCGCCGTCGCGTTCGTCTTGAATACCAGCCGTCTTGCATGGTCCTTGCCCCAACCTTCCCAAACCGGGCTCGCAGCCCTCTTGTACCGATTCGGATCCAAGCCCCTCACAAAGCTCGTCCAATACCCCTGCACGACAGGCACAATGTTCCTATTCGTGGTGCTATAGCTCGCGGGCGCGCCACCATTAACGTTCTCAGGCCCGAAGATGGCGTTGACCTCGACCGTGTGCGGCACCCCCAAGCCCTCAGCCATCTGCGCCGCGTCCTCGACGTTCCAGAGATAGTTCCACGTCTGCTGCCCTGCGGCGGCGAAGGCCGTGCTCGCGAACAGGCCCGGGCACGTGTAGCGCATGTCGCCGTACGCGGTGCTGAGCTGGCGCCAGTAGCGGCCGGCGCCGGGGAAGCGGGGCGTGCCGTCGACGGGGTAGAGCTCGTGCAGCTTGGCCAGGTGCGCGGGCGTCAGCGCCGGGAAGTTGTTGTGCAGGAACGTGTCGCTGGCATCCTGGGAGTCTGTGCTCTTGGGCGTGAACACCGTGCCCCCGTTCGTGTCGTCCCCCCAGATGGTAGGGACGTGAATGAATTTCCCCTGTGCGATTAGTCGGTGCGTGTAGTCGGGCACCAGGTCCCCGTCGATCGTCGGGCTGTACATGTACAGCGGCGGCCCCTTGGCGCCCGGCAGCGCCGTCGTGATCGCGTTGGCTTGCAGCGTCGCGATGTCCAGGTCGCGCAGGCATTGCAGGCTATTGCTCGCGCTGGCGCAGCCGGTCCGCCACGCGAGCCCGTCGTACATGAACTGCGCTTCGCTGCTGTTGTACATGGTGCCGAACGACTGCGACTCGGCGGCCGTGGCGACGAAGAGGTTGTCGTTGCGGCCGCCGTGCGCGGTCAAGAGCAGCGAGACCGAGGCGGCGCCGGCGCTGCTGCCCCCTACGACGACTGTGCGGGGTGTGAGTGAGTGTTTTGTTTTTGTTTGGGATGATGGGGCTTTTTCGCGCATTGCTCACCATGGTTGGGATCGCCGCCAAACTGCGCTTATTAGCATTACATCCAAAGCTAAAAGCGTGACGGCCAGACACAACGCACCTTTTCAATGTACTTTTGCACCCATTTCAGCGCCTTGATCTGGTCTTTGAGGCCGTTGTTGAGGCTGGCGCCGGCCTCGATTTCGTTGCCGGCGAGGAAGCCGTACACGCCGACGCGGTAGTTGAAGGTCACGACGACCATCTGGTGATCCGCGGCTTTGATGAGCCCGCGCCCGTGGTAGTTGGGGTTAGTGTTGCCATTGAAGCCTCCGCCCTGGATGAAGAAGAAGACGGGCAGCTTGGACTTTGGCGTCGCGGTGCTGGGGGCGTAGACGTCGAGGAACAGGCAGTCTTCGGACTGGGCGTCCGAGATGCCGGAGCCGGTAGCGATGCAGATGGGGCCATGCTGGGGGAGGGGAATTAGTATGACATAGTACGTACATACGTACTATAAACTGGACCTTGGAAATAAAAGAATAAAGAAAAAGAAAACAAAAATACCTTGTCTGCAGTCTGGGTCCCCTGCATCTGGGGCGGGTCGCGCGGCGAAGCGAAGCGCAGGTTCCCGACGGGCGGGGCGGCATATCGGATAGCCAGCCATTGGGAGACGCCGTCGGCAAACGTCGAGCCTTGGTAAGTAGCGTAGTCGAGATTAACCTGGGGGAAGTTGTCGACGGCGGCTCCACCGGCGCCACTGCCGTCGGTAGCGGCGTCAGTGCCACCAGTGCCACCAGTGCCACCAGTGCCGCCAACAGCAGCGGGGCTTCTGCCCCCGACAGCGGCGTGCCTGGGGCGCAGGACAATGCCGCAAACGAGGCCGGCGCTGGCTAGCAGGCCCAGGAAAAGAGCCAGGACGCGCATGGTGGGGGATTGGTGCCAACGGGGGGCAGCAGCGGCGGCTTTCTCGACGTCGTCTACCAGCATGCTGGCGGCGGGCTTCTTCCGGTCTTAAGTAGGCGTGGCGGATCCCTTGCGGTACGTCGAAGGAGGGGTTTCCAGGTCATGCTGCAAAAGCCCGAGTAACGTTGAGCGGCAGCCAGGCGCGATCATATGCTCACTTTTTCTACAATGTGGGATGCAGAAGCATGGCACGAGGCTCTCGAGACACATTGCTGACTGAACATTCCCGCCCGGCTATGTGCTTCGTATCGGGCGCGGCGGGTAGGGCGAGCGAGATACGAGGCGGCGGCGGTGGTGCATTGCATCGTTGCGGCGGGCGCGTTGTTTTGCGGCGACGGCGCAAAAAGGAAATAGTGAGAGAATAAGGATTGGGTGGAGAGCGAGGCGAGGTCCGTGTGTCTGTCTGGCCTGTCTGGCCGCCGCGCCCTCCGTGATCAATTCGGCCAAGACTTTTTTTTTTCCCTTCTTTCACTCTCACTCTCACACGTGATGCAAACACACACAACCCGGGTCATGCGCTCTCGCAACTTTGCCGAACCGGATGAATGAGAAACAAACCTACCTAGGCAAGCGGCACCAGGCGGGGTAGAATCGCATCTCGCCCACCCGCACGCAACGAAAACAAACGCCGAAAACATCACGTCTACGCAGTGTCTACCCAGCACTCCGTATCTAGCTACCCACATGAACGGCGACGACGCACAGCCTAGACCTCTGATCCGATCTCGCATGACAGCCTGCCGAGTGCTGACTGAGCCCGAGGCTGACGGACGGAGCTTTTTTTCTGCTCGCTCGCGTGCGCGCATGGCTGCCTGCTAGCTGGCTGGATCGGACAACGCCGGCTAGGCAGCAAATACGCAGATATAGCGCCCCGCCCCGCTCTCTCGCTTGCGGCGTTGAGATGGCGCCCACGTTTGCGGTCTGCCGACCGCCTGCGCCGCGTGTGGTAAGCGGCGAGGCACAAACGATTGCAAAAGTAGTAGTAGTTGTTGTTATACTGTACCTATCTAGCTAGTGCGAATACGTGCACACAACAACGGCAACGGCGCCCATCGCTCTCCGCCGCCCCGCAGCAGCGCAAGCGTCGGCGGTGCGCCGCGTACGGAAGGTACGGCTATATTTAGCCATGTGCGTAGGGCCGGTGTACGAAGTACGAAGTACCTACATACTGTAGCAACGGCTGCGGGTTTTCTTGTCTCGTCTCCTCTCGCGAGAAACGAGACGAGAACAGAGAGCGGAGAGGAGGGGAGGGGAAGAGGGGAAGAGACGGTGTTGGTTAATTGGTTAACTGGTCCGCCATACCTAGCCCTCCCGACTGCCTGCGGCGAGCTGCCGTCTGCGAACAGCCATCTACCATACCTCCGTCGTCGATGTCTGTCCGATGTTTATCTGCTCCGAGGCAAACCAAAGTCATGCAAACCAAAGTCCACCATCCATTGTCTCTCACGCACATTCACACGTGACAAGACAAGCGCCCAAGAACCGGGCTCGCTGACTGTTTGTCGCGCCCTTGCGTCCTTGCGTCTTGACGAGTACCTAGGTAGTACCCGAGCGGCATTCCAGCGAACTAAGCATAAACGCGCTACTGGCGCCGTACCTTGAGCTAGCGGCACTGCTAGCAACACCACCTCCCTTCGCTGCTACGACCACCGTTGTCGTGGTTGGCTGGGTAAACATACCTACCTGCCTACCACCCTAATCCGTACCTATGTGTGACTAGAGTACGGAAGCCAGGCGATGGACGACGGAAGACAGACCCGCTTCCTTGGTTGCTTCCTTGGTTGCGTGCTTTGCTCCCGACGACGACGACAGCGGCGACGGGCTGACGGCTGCCTCCGTGTGTTGCTCTTTCCTGTTCCTGGCTGTGTTTGTGCCTGTTCCTGTTCCTAGCCCCATCGCACACATCGCACACATCCCCCACCCCTGCGCCGCCTCATTTTCGCCCCGGGTCGGGTGTTTTGTGAATCACATCGAAGGCGATCACCATCACCATCACCATCGTCCATCATCGCATCCCGTCCCATCCCATCACCCCGACCCAACCAACTTAGGTAGGTAGGCCAGACAGACCCCCGACGCGCCGACTCCTGCTCCACTCTATGTACGTATGTACGGACATGCCTGGCTGGCTGTCAGTACCGGCGACGTAGGTATGTACGTACGTAGCGCACACACGACCCCGCCAGCCAGCTAGCCAGACAAGCACAAGCACGCACGCAACGTCGGGAGCGTCTTCCCGCGTCCCGTTACCGTCACCGTCATCACCGGGATGTGCGCAACCGTCGATCCCGCGGCATGGATCCGTTGTCTGTAACTATGTACCTACGGTAGGGTGTGGGCGGTCGGACCCGACCCGACGACCTGCCTTGGGTAGGTCGGTACCTGCTGCCTAGGTGCCTACTGCGTTCGCACGCCCGACTTCCCGCCGACGATGACCGAGCGGGCGGGTGGGTTGGTGGTGGTGGTGTTTGTTTTTTTGTTGTTTTTTGTTTTTGTTGATGTTACTTTTTGGTTTTTTTGCTTTTTTTGCGCGCGCGCGCCTTGGATTCCTTCCTTTCTTCGGATTTCGGATTTCGGATTTCGGATCACGCTTTACCTGGCTCTTGGTCAAGCTCTCCACTGTTTCGAGACAGCGTACAGGGTGTAAGCAAGTCGGATTGGAAATGGGGCCGCTATGGAGTAAGAATGTCGATGCCGCAAACAGCACAGGTTTTCGTACTTGTAGAGGTAACGAATTACGACTCAGAAGCCCCCGGCACAGACACCGGATTCCAATCCGACGTGCCTACACCCTGCATGGGACTGGACTGGGCGGGAGTGGAGTAAAGAAGAGTGGAGTGGAATGGCCTCCACCTACCTGGTGGGCGAATTGGATTGCTTTGCGCGGCCTCATTCCTCACTCCTTACTCAACTAACTACTAACCAACGACCCGGCTACCAGCTTCCAGCTACCCATCCCGTCCCTCTTGTCTCGTCCCAGCAGTAATCCGTACGCTGCTCTACCGGGCACCGAGGGAACAGACATAGGTGCAAAACCTTGTCCAAAACACAACAACACGCACGCAGCCAACCCATTCTAACCCCATCCCAATCCGGCACCGCACCGCACCGCACCCAAACCCAAACCAGCGCAGAATCTAGCCCAAGACCGATCGCAGATACTGCATACCCCTCCCCGGCCTAACCCCCGCCTACCCGCCTACCCGTCCGACAAGCCGTCCCGCCCCGCCCCCGCTGTGGCCAGTTAGGTACTTACGCCACCAACGGCAGCAGCAGCCAGGTACTGTACCTACGCGACGATCCACACGGCACGGCAGCGCACCCAGGCGCGCGGGCCGGGATGCGCTGCGATGCGTTCCTGCTACTGTACCTGCTACCTGCTACCTGCACCCGGGGACGGGGGACGGGGCCGTGGCCGCGGCCGCGGCGTTGGGCATGAGTGGTTTTCTTCTTCTTTGCTTTGCCTTGCCTTGCTCGCTCTTGCCATGCTGCTCTCTTGCTCTCTTGCTTTACCTTGCTCACTCACTCACTGGCTCGTTTACCCTTGTAGGAACAGCAGCAGCACACCACCCCGCTGTCAAGTGTGCGTCTTGGCTTGCCTTGTCTTGGCTTGCCTTGTCTTGGCTTGCCTTGTGTATAGTGCGTACGCGCAGTGCAGTGCAGTGCAGTGCGTGCGTGCGTGCCCGACTCCGCGATCGCCCGTCACTCACTCGCGCACTCGCTCGCTCACCCCGGCCGTGCCTAGGTGATTTCCCATATCCCCGGCCTGCGCGTGTGTGCGTGTTCCTTGCTGCCATGCTACAGCCCGCAGCCCTGTGCCCCCTGTGGCGTATGCGGTCCTTGTGGTCGATGGGGTCCAGCCCAGTCAAGGCAGGGCTGGAGGACAGGGCTGGGCTGGACTGGCTGGTGGTCGCCTTCCGCACGCCCGAGCGAGGTTGTGGGGTGGGGTGAGTGAGTTTGGGTTGGGTGAGTGCGTCTATATAGTGAGGGGAGGTTGTTGGTTGGTTGGTTGGTTGTCTACTTGGCTGTCTGTTTCTTTACTTGGCTATCTATCTACTCTGTCTTGTCTATTCAACAGAAATTCACTCCTTCTCTGTCTACTCTACCAAGCTGTCTTCCTACCTCATCCTCTTAACTGCCTCCACCTCCACCACCACCACAACAACAACATCAACCACCACCAACTTCTCCCCCTCCAAAACGCCTCCAAACAGCTCAGCACTGCTCAGCTCAAACCATGTCCCCAACGACCATCCCGCCCCGCGACCTCACGCTGCACACGCACGCCCACATCCTCCTCGCCGCAGGCTACTCTCCGCTGTTTGTGTCGGGGCTCGCTGCGCCCTCTGGCACTACGTCTACTACTACCAAAACCACAACCATAACCTCTCCGCCATCATCATCAACTACTTCGTATTCTTCTTCAACAACAACAACAACATCAACCACCAAAACACGACCAGACCCAACCCGCCCGCACCAACGCCCACACCCCGCGACCTCGACGCCTGGCGGCCCAGCTCCCGCTGCTGCGCCGCCACCACCGCCACCACCACCATGCGCGCACCCCGCGACACCAACACCGCTAGCACAACTAGCACAGTTGTGCTCGCCACCACTTCCACAACAGCACCACCACCAGCAAAGACAGCGCGAGCAGCACCCCCACCCAAAACAGCAGCGCATACGCGTGCACATGTGCGTGCGCATACGCATACGCGTGCGCGTGCGTGTGCGAAGGCGGGTAAGGGTGCGGGCATGGCGACGGGGTTGCGGGCCGTGAGGCGGCGAGATGGGTAGGTAGGTACCCACGCGTCTGTGTGGGCCGGATGGGGAGGCCGGGGACAAGCCGATGGTAGCCGACTTGTGGGGGGAGAGAATAAGATAAGAAGGGAAAAAGAAGAAAGAAAGAAAGAAAGAAAGAGATGGGTCGGCGTTGGGGTTTGAGAGCGTTGAGATATTTGATATCCTTTAGAAAGAAAACGAGAAAGAGGGTTTTTGTTTGTCTGTTCACCCACCCATCCATTCGTCCAGAAAGTCCGTCCACCCGTCTGTACATCTGTTCGTCGGTCCATTTGTCCCACTCCCGGAGACAAGAAGGCCGCAAGAAGACAGAGATAATGACAAAAACAAACGAACATAAACGCCCAGCACCCGAGTAGAGCTAGGTACGTATACTAGCGCGACGCCCGCGGCGCCGCCTACCTACCTACCTATGCATCATCCCTCACGCAGCAAGTCTGAGCCCAAGCTTCACTATCGACGATGAACTAGCACCCAACACCACCAACCCCTCTTAACCCAACCCAACCCAACCCAACCTAAGCAAAACATCTCGCACAAGCGCACACGCCCCTGCCCCTCCCATTCCTGCCCTTCTCCGTCTCCTTCTCCTTCTCCGCCTCCGCCATCGCAACATCCGCGCGCAAACTATCCAGCACGCGCCCTGCAGGATGCCGAAGCATTAGTTACGCGTTCGATAAAGAAATCTGAAGGCGAGAAAGATGGCTGAGTGAGTGAGAAATAAGGGTTAAGGGACTGGACAGGACAGGACAGGACTACTCACGAAAGACGCCCCTCCCCCCACGGGTACTGGTACTGATCCGCCACCGCGGCAGCAGCGGCACGTCCATGTCCCTCTCCTCCTGCCTCTCGCCCTCAAGTTCAAAGCCAAGTCCAAGCTCAGGCGCATGCGCATGAGGCGGCGGCGCAGCGACCACGACGGCGTTTAAATTCGCGATGGCATTGGCGTTGGCGTTGGCGTTGGCGTTGGAAGACGGCAGCGCGAGCAGGGGTATCATGTCTGCGTCGTCGTTCGTAGCAGTGCTGAAAGCGGATTTGGACCTGTGTCTGCTGCTGCTGCTGCTGCTGTTGCCGCGGAACGAGATGGACGCTCGGGCGAGGCTGAGAGCGGGGGTGCGGCGCGGTGTGTTTGTGTGCATTTTTGATGGTGGCGGCGATGGTGACTGGGTATCGGTGGTTTTGTTTGTGTTTGCAGTTGGTATAGTGTTGGTGGTGGTGGTGGTGGAATCTAGGGACAGAAACCGTGTACCCGTACACCTTCTCGTCTCGTCGTAGATGTTTTCCCTTGCAAGTCGTCGTCGCAGCCCATGCCAGCGACGTCGCCCGCTGTGTATATACTCGCACGCGCGGCAGCACGCGGAGCCTAATCCAACCATCCAACTCTAAAACACTAGCAACGGGTAGGCGCGGAAGCGTACAGTAGAGTACCTACAGACGCAGACAGACAAACAGACAAACGAGCGTTTCTTCTCACAGCGCAACAGACAGGCAGGAAGAACAGAACCAAGCAACGACAAACACCACACTACAACACACCGTCTCCCTATTTACTCTTGCGACTTCTTCAACAGAAAAAAAATCCGTCCACTCCAAACCAAAACGCCTGTTTCAAGGCCCCGCGCCGTCGCGCCATGCGATCTAGTCCGGATCGACGGGGGATCGACCGGCCAAGGCTAAGGCTTCTTCATTGGTGGTGCGACGGCGCCGGCGCTGGCGCAGCCAGCCATGCGGTTGGTGGCAGAAACTGGACTGCCTGGCCTGGACTCGAGATCAAACAGAAAGGTACGTACCCGTATTGCCGTCCGCCTGCATGTCCATTCCATAGTCTTCACAATTCGAGTACTCACGCGAGTGGCCGATGGTGATGTGATGATGAAGCTCAGCGCGATGCGATGCGGTGCGGGGGAGGTGAGGCACGCCCAGACGCGCTGACGCGCCCCCGCGCCCCACCGACCGACCCGTCGCTCCCGCGTCGATCCCGTCGCGCACGACAAAAATGCCCGACTGCGAGTCTGCGACCAACGCCCACCTCACTCACTTGCGTACCTGCGACCTGCGCCCTGTCCTCTATGGGCGAGCGGCAGATAGCTCCAATGCATCGTGCCGCATCGCGCCTGTCCTAATTGTACCAGCAGCAGCAACAACAGCATCAGCGGCGGCGGCGGCGCACTTGCCCCTGTCCCGTTGGCTGGCTGGCTGGCTGGCTGGCTTGTTGGCCCCCAGCTCTTCCCCTGCGTCCTGTGAGCGCGAGCGCAGGGCGCAGCACCTCGGGCGCTTCCGAGCACGATACGTGTAACGGCGGCGGCGGCGGCAGCGGCAACGGCAACGGGAGCGGCAACGGGCTCGCCCGCCGTACTGGGGCAATGGGGCGTCCGCGACGCGCTGTGACGTGATGAGCCCAGGCCGGACGAGCGGATGAGCGACGTGGCAGCGGATATGTACAGACAGGGAGGCAGGCTGCTCGCTCCGACAGACCGCATGTCTTCGCGGCGCCCACAGGAAGGGCGTCGGGCTCGCGCGCGGGGATGTTGCTGTTGCTGTTGCACGGGAGGGGCGGTGGGCCAGCGGCGAGCACCGTGGCCTGGCGGCCGGGTGTTGTGTTTTCGTCCCGGTGTTGCGCTGGAGGGGGAATCTCGAGGGCGCCGAGACGACCTGCGGGAGCTAGTCACTACGGATACCGTCGCACGCGTACTGAATGGGTACGGGACTGAAGAGAAGAACGTGGTTGCCTACAGCGCTGTCAAACAGCTCGTCGGGTAGTGACTCGCTCCATGTCTGACGAGCTTCGCCATTACCTATCGCCCACTCGGGCATCCATCGTTGCGACTGTACATACGCTGCTCGCCGTGTGTTGTACCGTTGCACAGCGCGATATTCCCCTACGTTACAATCTGCAGGAAACGACAAAACTCCGCGACACTGCGGCACGACAGGCGGACGACGAAGATTGCGCCGCGAGCTTTTCTGGGGAGGTGGGGGATGGAGGGGTGAGAGCAGGGAAGAGCAGGACAGGGTAGGGAATGTGTGACACGCGACACGCGACATCTCATCTCCATCTTCATTTACCTTCATGTGTGGCTTACACTTACATAAACTTTCTGCCGACGCCGACAGTATCAGCATCCGGGGTTGAGCTTGCTCGCGCCTCTTTCCTTGCTCTTTCTCTCGCATGCGCAGCCTTCACCGCTGCTCCAACCACGAGGTAGAGGCCCGGGAACGGGGATCCAGGGATCTTGCTCTTTGAGTTCAATCGGACCGTCGGGTAGAGCGTGTCGACGGCTAGGCGGGAACGAACAGGGCTCAGTGAAATGAGACAACGGCGCGGATGAGCGCATTCTGTCTCATTTGCTGGCCTGTTGGATGCAGGGTCCAGGACCGAAGACGAGGATCCGATCAAGGTACACACGCTGATGGAGCAGTGTGATATTGAGTAGGTAAGCAAGTACGAGAGAGACGGAAGCGTACAGTGTGTTGGATAGGCTCTGCGAGTTACGCGGGCGTTTGTGGGCGAAAGAGCGAGGAGAGAAGGAAAGAGAAGCCGTTACTGTAGTTGAGAAGGGACGTCTCAAAAGAGAAAGACCGACCAAGCACGCGACGCACCTCACGCCACTTCCACGACCACACACACACCAACTTCAACCTTCTCCCATCACCACCCCTACACTCTTCATACTTCATACCCGAATGATGATGATCAGACGCGCACTCTTTCTCTTTTACCGTTCGAATACGAGCACAACTCGGTGCTCAGCTCGCAAACCCGGCCCTGGGTTCATGGTTTCAAGCCTCTTCCCCTGCAAATGCGGACCAGCATAAGTGCTACATACAGATCAACACATAGGCTCGACAGCGAGCGAAGAGCAATGTTCAATGGAATAACACATGCCTGCAACCCGATCTTGACGTCTTACATACTCATTGTACAGCACAGATTGATACCGGTCGTGTACGGTAAAGGGTCATGTCTAGTCAAGCTATGTATGTTACCTCAAGGCTATCAGAAACATTTCGCAAACATTCGCGGCGAATTCGAGATTGTAAGCTCAACGTTTCAATCAACAGTCCCTCTCATACTCCCGAACACTACACTGGAGCGACGGTGGACGGTATGCAAGAGAGCACTCAACTATGTTATCACTGCCCACTGCTCAAAACATTAATGTTCTCCGCTAATGAATGAGATACTCAACAATGACCGCGTTCTGCTTGACCTCGAGTATACGACATCGGATGGTCAAACCCCAATTCCATATAGCGACCAACCGTTTGCTCATTTTCCCACCGCATTCGTGGCCTTTTCTTTTGAAGATTTCTTCTTTTTCTAAGACCGAAATATATCGACTACAATCACGTTCCGAAGTTGCCTACTGCGTGCAGCGTAAACCAACAAATCTGCTCCTTTGATTTCGCAAACCCGTTCTTAGTGTTTACCACGAATATTCCGGCCAAACAGTCTTCCATCAATCTAGCCAGCGGGGAACCCTCCAAGCACACCTACTGTCTTGCTGACATTACCGGTTCAATCAAGACCCGCCTTGCAACAGTTATGATTGGCCCGAGTGTATTATACTCATGCTCGAAACAGCCATTCAATAAGGCCCTGCACCAATCTGCTGTGCCGCAGTAATCTACCCGCCCGAATCCGGACACCAGGTACAAGATTACTGTGGATCTGGTGGTCCAATCGTCCGGTCCAGATCTCTGCTACCGACGCAAGCTCCTTTTTTCTCGCCTCACGGCAGAAGCAGCAGCGTTGCAGACCAAGGTTACGCCAAAGTTTGTTCAGTTCATCAATTGCCCTGGCTAGTTCTCGGAATCCCGAGCCCGCGAGATTCGGTTCTGCATGTACCGGGTACGGGGGCAGAGGTCGTCAGAGGCGTGCTTCCAGATCGTCGATGCCGGCTGTACTGTGCATGCCTTCCCTTCACCCCACCCGGGCAGTCTATGCTGCCTTGAGCACAGCTGCCAGGCTGCGCAGACCAGGTCACCCTATCACATCTCTTCGGCACGGCCTCTTTCCGCTCCCGCCGCGGCAATGTCCCGCAATTGCTATACCAGGTATGCCGCCAGAGCACTGCAAGCATGGTTGCTACCCAGCGTCAACGGCGCGCACTCGCACCCAACGTTCGACGCAGTGGCATAGCATAAGGCAGCTAAGTTGCCCCAGGACCACGCCCCGGCCTCGCAGCGCCCAAGCCGCGGTCGAGACCATACCGCGCGAAACCAAGCCGTCTTCCACGCCGCCTGTAGCGTGACCGGTGCGGCTGGGCAGTGGGCACGGCTGCAGCGATGCCCTGAGGTTCCGAGCAGCTGCTGCGACGAAACACTTACCATACAGCGATGGCCCTATAGCCGCGCGGTGAAGAAGCGAAACCACCAACAGTAGGCAGCAGCAGCAAGCAGTGATGAAGAGACGCACGCGCACGCAGAATGCGCACGCGGCAGCTGCTTCCCGACAGGCCAGCAAAACCCACAGTCCCACTGTCCACACAGCCCGCGGCCGAGGAGTGGGCAACGACAAAGCGCGCAGCGCTGCCCACGCTCACTAATCCTCCGCAGATCGGAATCATCCAGACACTCCTGATTTGCAGCGGCAGCGGCAAGGCCAGGCACGCGCCACCACCCGCGCATCCTGCTGCTAGTCAGGCACCCAGCTTTTTCTTTTCTTTCCTTTTTTCCCTTCTATTAAAATTTCTCAGCGCAAGGCGGCGGCACGGGCGAGCGGAGATGGCGCATAGGCGCTCTTGACCCCTCGTCGTCGCGCCTCGGGCGGCCGGGCCCCACAAGCCGGTCGGTGATGAGCGAGCGCGTGTGGGGAGGTGGTGAAAATCACGGCGGCGAAGCTTGGAAGGGCGACGCAGGGAGGTGTGCACGGATGCACCGGTGTGTGGGTTGTGGAAACACGGCGACGGCGTTGGGGCTCGGTGGCCTCAGCACGGCGCGTCGTCGTCGCAAGTCTGACGGGGGGAAGCGGACAAAGGCCGCTCGGGCCCTGCCAGACAGCGCTGCGTCCATCTGCGTCTCTGTCTCTGTCGTCAGTGTCATCAGGCCGGCAGAGGATGCGGGTACGCGCGGGCTCCTGTCTCGCCCTGCGCCGATTGCCTGCCTGCCCTGCCAGCCCTGTCTCATTTCCTCACCTCGCGCTGCGGCCCGTGGGCGCGCCTACCTACACAATCGCAATGCCAAATGCTATTGTGTGCCTGTGCCGTGCCTGGGTACGCTACGGTACGGTACACACCTACCTACAGCAGTGTCTATTTTTGGGCCTCCTGGATTGGCTGCCCAAGCCACAGCCCGCGCGCCGTCGCCTCGCCTCGCACCGATCGCGCGCAAGGCCGTCGCGCGGTGCGCCAGCGCTGGCGCGTCGTCTGGAGGCGTCGTCGTCGGCGCTGTCGTCATCGGGCTGGAGGAGGGGTACGTACGTACGTACCTACTGTGTAGGGGAGTGGGAGGCAGTGATGGTGGTGATGCCGATGCTGATGCCGATGACGATGCGGCTCTGCTTCCCGCGCCGCGCCGCGCCGCACCGCACCGCACCGCACCGTCGCCTCGCTTCGTCTCGAAACGTCTCGTCTCGTCTCGCCAGCGACGGTGGGCGGTGGCCGGCACCGGACTCGCCGCGACGCCACAGGCGCCGGACTACTCTAGAGTAGCCGGCGCGGCGTGGCGCGAAGGATCGCTACCTTGTAGCATGCCGATGAGCCGATATCAAGACTTGGTAAGACGCGCTGGAGCGCTGTGGCGATGGGGAGGAGGGCTTCTTGCGGCTGCGGCTGTGGCAAGCCGCGGTGAGGTGTTTCAAAATCCATCCCACTCTTGGGCGTAATGGTATGTATGTATGTATGTGTGTGTATGCGCTCAATGGTGACATAGAGAAAGAAAAAAAAGAGATAAAGAAGAAAGAGTATGTATAGAGTGAGAGTGCGGCTCTGCATTTGCGCCTTACGCCCTACGCCTTACAGTACGCCGCGCAGCAGCATCTGCTCGCCAGCTCGCGCTCGCGCATGGCCGCGGAGACATCTCCGCCGCGCGGTCCAGTGCGAGCGAGATACACGCATATCATCCGCGTACAATACCGACCTACTACCTACACAAAACACGCCCACTCAAAGCCTCCGCCCGGGGGCGCGGCAGATAGATTATACTGCAGATCCCTCGCGCCCTCGTGCTTACCTACTACGTACACGCCACCAACACAACCAGCAACAACAGCGCGCCGCCGCTACATACCTACACATGTACCATCACAGCACGGCCACAATCCGCAACCACCACCGGAATACTAAACACAAACCCAAACCCATACAGATATTAACAATAGCATATTGTACAAATATAAAAAGGAGGCCGAGTAGGGAGGAGGGTAGGGTGGGATTGCACGCCCACTGATCGTCACCCACCCGGCGGCACGCTTGTTTTTACCGCCAACAGCAAGCGGGGCACGCGTTGCGAATTGCGAAACGCTTGGACACACTCGCGCGCACACGGGCCTGCGCGTCTGCTCCTGTCTCTTGGGGCAAGAGTTGCGAGTCCTGCGAGCCCTGCGAGGTTGTGAGCCCTAAGAGCCTGTGAGCCCTAAGAGCCTGTGAACGTGTGAGTCCGTGAGCTCTTACATAGCACCGAGTAAGTGCGCAAGAGATTGGTGGTGGTGCGTGGTGCGTGGTGCGTCGAGGGACGGGACGGGAGGCCTGACATTTTAGGAGGTTCGGCTTGCATGCGCTTTTGAGGCGCGATGTGCTGCTTGGCTCGCGGGCTTAGCTGGCTTGGTTGGCTTGGCTTGGCTTTTTCGGGGTGGGAGATCGAGATTTCGGCTCTTGACTCTGATCTGCTGGTTCATTGGTGGGGAGGGGATGGTCGACACTCGGGGGGGGGGGGGGGGGGTAAGTGATTTTTTTTTTTTTTTTCACGGTGCAAGTTCGAATGTAATGATTGACATTGACTAGAATTTTTGTGCCGGTAGCTAGGTAGGTAGATAGGTGGTAATATAATATGTGCAGTAGCTAGGTAGCTAAGTAAGTAGTAGCACTAAACAGCAAAAAAGCAAGCAGAAACAACTTCTCCCTCGCTGCGGCCGCCGCAGGTGGGGTAGATAGATGATGGACAGTGGTATCTCGCGCGAAACGACAGAAGGCCTGAAGAACGATCAAGAAGTAGAAGAAGATGAAAGTGAAAACGATGAAATGAACAAGTCGGCGGACGGACGGGCGGGTGCGGCGCGCTGCTTTGTGGTTGTCGTCGTTGTCCTTGTAGCGGTGATAGCGGCGGCGGCGCAGAGGAGCCGAAAGATGGAAAGGGAACCGCCGAGTGCGAGCTCCCTGCTCTGGTATATGCTGACGCCCGTCCTGTCCAGAAAAAATGAGTGGTGTGATTATGGCGCGCGCGGCGGTGATAATGTAACGGTCGGCGGCGGCGGTGGTGTCGTTGTCGTGCGTGGTAGTAGGTAGCGGCGAACAAAGAAGCGCCCCTCGGCCTCGTTCCCAACGCTCCTCCTCCTCTTCCAGGAAATCCTTTTTTTTCCCTCTTTCCCAAGCAAGCACCCAATCCAATCCAATCCCAAGCAATCCCAAGCAATATCCCTCCCAACGCCCAATCTTTGACCCAAAAACCCAACTCCCTCCTCTTCAGTGCAGACCCCACGCACACACGCACACGCCTTAATCGTGCGTGATCTGCACGTTATGGCTCACCATGATGCCGTTCTGGTCCTGCTGCTGATCTCCAAGCAAGATATTCTTCATGCTGCCGTCCTCGCTCAAGCTCTCTCTTCCGCCTGTCAGGCCCGGCGCGCCCGCACCAGCGCCCCGAATGCGCGTCTCGATGGCCGTGGAGCCGAACTTGGAGTCCTCGGCGCTGTTCTGCAGCTCGTACGCGCTTTCGCACTCCTTGTACGTGCGGCGCCCGTTGCTGGGCCACCCGCTGTGGGCCGTGAGGCCCTTGGAAGGCGTGCTCGTGTCCGAGTCTGAGCCGCCGAGGTGCAGCAGCTTCCGGAAGAGCGGGCGCAGCGTTGATATGCATCCGACGATCAGGCCCACGCCGTTTTCCGCGTAGCCCCAGATGACGATGTTGGCGACCGCGACTGTGTCCGTGGGTTAGTTGGTGTGGGGTTGAGGGAGGGGGTGGGGCGCGTACAGAGGTTGTCATTCGTGTTGGTGAGGTTGACGGTGTATTTGAGACGGATGCAAGCGGAGAGGGAGGCGCTAGATATAGTGTTAGCAAGTCATGGATTGGCGATTGCGCAAGCGGCCCCAGATCTGGGTTTGACTCGGGGAGCGACATACAATATACCCAGGCCCAAGATGCCGGCGACGGAGATCTTGGCGTTGCGGTTAAGCTTAACATTCCAGAGGAGAGGGATTGGCCTGGCGATGACTCATTAGCCTGTGGTCATGACAAGCTGGTCACGACGCTGAGTCGCGATCCGATGAACCTACATCGCTGCAGTGAACCAGTCGGTGACGATGTTGACGGCCGTCGTGGCATAGTAAATGTCAGTGAGAATGATAGCGGCGTCGCATTTTCCCTTCATGGTCCAGGCTGCCCTGTGATGCTGTCAACGCTCGAGTTCTCGTTGTGCTTGGGAAGCGCAGACTGGACTTACGAGACAGGACTACACCGGAAAATGATGTAAAGTGCGGCGATAAGGTTCATTATCGTAAACATGGCGCAGACAACGTACTGGCTGTAGACAAACAACTTCCTGCCTGCAGCAATACGGATGATGGTAAAAGCAATGCTGAGCTTGATCGGGATGACGGTAACGCAATAAAAGACTTCAAAGAAAAAGAACCACTGTAAACATTAGCTGCCGCTCACAATGGCTTTTCTTTTATCCAGGTAAACCAACCTTCATGCCCAAGACCTGGTATTTTACGTTCTCTGGCTTTTTCAAGTTCTCGATGTGCACACCAACACCCATAAACGAAGCGACTAGGCATGATATTGAAAGCACCGTGAATGGCAGCTAAAGAATCAGTAAATTGCACCCTCAAACAAATAGGAAAGGGGTAGTCGTACCATCGCAAACGCCATGCACCAATCGTCCGGACCCCATGTCGCTTTCGTTATCCGCGTGTATACGCGCAGGCCAAAAGTGAGGAATCCAAGGATGGTAAGGGTAATAATCACACCGGCCACCTTGGGTGCATCATCAAGGTATATCGCCATGGCGGAGTGAGAATCTGGAGAGAGGGATCCTCAAGCGGAGAGGTTCCAGTGCTGTGTTTAAGACAGGCTACAGCCGAGGAATAGACGTGACGTGAAACCACGGGTTGGCTGTCGTGCAGAGACTCTTTAAAGCGGAAGCTCGGCGCAATGAGGCGTCCCAGGCGCGGGACAGCAGACGGGACCGACAAAGGGTTATATTCCAGAAGGAGTTGCAGAAGGAACGGCGGGTGTTTGAAGCTAGGGGAATAAGAGACCTGGGGGAAGCGGCCCGAGCGAGAGTAAAGCGAGCGAAGGGGTAGGATATCAAAGATCAAATAACAATGCAGAGGGGGCAGGAGCTCGCTCCGCCCAGACGAACAGTAGGGTTTCCTCGCAGAAGAAAGAACACAACAGGCAAGCCACAGGGTGTTACCTAGACAGGATTTGAGTTCTTAACGCTGGTGCCAAGGCCTTATGCTCTTCACCAGCGATGTTAGGGTGCCAAAGTGGAAGGACGATGCGGGAGATTTTCTGCTTCCAAGGCCTGGACAAGCTTGGTATTATCTGAGCGGACAGCGGACTTGGGCCTAACTGTAAGCGTCGCCGCGATGATCCCAGTTCCCCGCTTGCAGGGCACGCAGTGTTCGACGTGGCGTCACCTAGCTGAGGGCCCGCAGGATGGGCCGTTACAGGACTGCCCTGAGCCGGAGTGGGCCATCTGGGGCATCGTGCCTCGGGATTGTGGCGAGAAAATAAGGGCGATGATTCATGTACGAGGCCGCCGCTGATCATATAGGGCTTGCAAACGGGAAGCTGGCGTTGACTATCGCCATGATGTGCAGGCCTGTGAGTAGGCAATGAGCATTTGCACACGAGGTCGCCGGTCAGGAGAACATCGAGGCCTCGCTCGATCTCACCTCGTTCCGAGCGTCTCTCACGCCGCCTCCCGTCCCACACCATCCCCAGCCAAGAGTAGTCGGCGTTGCCGAGTATATCATGGTGGGCTATGCCCTACCATGCCGTGGAGAGCGAGAGGTTTCGTCGTCGACCCCTTCGGCCCGACATCTGCTGCGCCAATCACACAGGCTGGCGCGTCCCAGAGCCCTCTTCAGTGGTGACAGTCGTCACGCGCGAGTCAAAGACGTCTGTTTCAGCCTTCACAGGGACCCGGCGCCAGCGTTGGCGGCGTCGAGACTCGACAGACGATGCAAACCTTCTTTTCCCTTCTCGATCTTGTCTCCGGCTCCCAGCTCGTCATTTCCGCACCGGCGACAAGTAGCCGCGCGATCGTCGTCCCTTTTCCCGTTCCGGGCGGCGGGCGGGGCGGGAGGCCGGCACCGGTGTGATCCGCAGACGGCCATCAAAAAGGCCTTGAAGATCCGAGGGCCCGACGACGTGCCAGTGCCCGCTCTCTTGCCTGCGAATTTTAAGCAAGCCACTTTTGTACCTTGCCAATACGAGATCGCATTTTCTCGGCGGTGCTTGTGCGCCCTATAAGCAGTGGTGGCTATTGCAGACTTTAGTCATGACCGCTTTCCTTCTTGAACGCAAGGACCAGCTGTAGAACGCAAGCATTATTGCTCCTGAAGAATTCGATTTGGGGGATGCACACATGGAGTGTCGTCGTCCAGAGACAAACACCGTAGGTCGCCGGCCCCCAACTCGCATCCCGCAAGCATGTGTGGAGAAGGTTGTTGTTCCTCCAGCCAAGGCATCGGATCCGACTCCTGGTCGCCTGCGTTTCCAGCGCCGCGGCGATGGTCTCGTTTCTGAGATCCTTCGCCGCGTCGTGAGATTGCGACTTCCCACGTGACGAGGTCTTTTTCGTTATCACCGCATTCCTCCACGCTCTTGTATTACCCAACGAGGCCGTAGCTGTGGCGCAAGGCAACCACAGCATGGCTCACGAAGCTGCCACGGCCCTGTCCAGCAGGGTGCTCGTGACTCCCAACAGCGCCACGCCCGTCGCCAACACGCCTCCATCACCACCACCACTCCTTCAAGCCCACACCCGTAGCAAAACACCGACGCGCCCGCCACCAATCCCCCACGCCCACAAGCCGAGCCACCCGATCCCCACGCTCTTGACCAGCCTCCGTCATCGCCGCCCACAACCCACGCCGGCGCCCGCGCCCCAAATCCCGTCCTCGCACCTTTCCAACCAGGCAACCTACCCGCCCCTACTCTTTAACCGTCCACGCCGTCGCCGGATATTACTCTATCAGCAGCCGCTCTCTCATCTGCCGGCATCCGAGACCCGCTCCGACAGCCATCCTTCCGCCGGCGTCGACTCTGTGCGCTATCTGCGCTAGTGCCTGGCTACATAGTTTACCAGTCGCGCATCGTCGCACGCTACTGTCGGTTGTGCCGGGAGCTTCGTAATGCTTGTGTTGTGGACGGGGAGCCACGAGCGGAAGCTTGGGCGGGTGTCTTGGCGGCGTGTGGGCGGTGGGCGACTAGGGCGGCGGCGGAGGTGGTGGCGGTAGTAGTACGGGAGAGTCGTCGTGTTCATTGATGTGTATAGCGGCGCGAGGAGGTATGTAAGTATATATAGGTGGATGTGCTAGAATGCTGGAGGTGGGAGAAGATGTGAGGATGCGAGGTGTAAAGCCTAGGTACAGGACCTGCAGTAGCGCCAAGCAGACAGGCAGGTGCACCCTTGTCCGCTGAACCACCCGACATCCCGGTTGGATAAAGCACATCAAACAGCGAGACAGGCATCCTCTCACTCGACAAGGCACACCAAAAAGCCACTCCGGACCCTTTTCCGAGCTACATGGGTAAGAGAGAGGGCAGCAGCGAAGCAACGCACAATCAGCCAAGTAGGTAAGTAAGTGAATAGACCAGTTTGTACGCAGGTAAGTACATAGGTACCTAAGTAAAACCAGCTTCACGCCCACACACCACGCAAACACATACACAATCCAAAATAACCAACCTTTACACACGCAACGCACGCCATGCCATTACATACTACCCAGCCAGACCACAGTCTGTCGTCGTCGTTGTAATCATCCCACGCACGCACACACCCTCTCCTAAAAACCAAAAGCATCCAACAAACTATTCGCATCCGGCTCCTTAAACTGCGTCGGCGGCGGCTTCTTCTTCTCCTCCTTCTTCGCCTTCTCCTTCTCCTCCGCCTTCCCATCTACCTCCCCACCCTTCTCTTTATCCACCTTGCCCTCACCACCACCAACACCGTTCGACACGACGCCCCCGTTCTCCTCTGCAAACCCATCCAGCATGCTCTTCACGCTATGCTGCTGCTCCGGATGTAAATCCGCAACCACAAGGCTGCTCCGCCGCTTCAGCAGCTTCCTTGGATCAATATCCTGCAGACGCGCCGAGTGCGACGGCATCTGCATCTGCGACGGCAGGGGCGCGATCGTCTGGTGCTGAGCCAGGAACTCCCAGGAGCGAACTGTGCGGTACGACGGTCGTTAGCTTCATGTTTCCCAATACGGTCATCACCATCCCCACCACTACTGCGGGCACCGCCACACTGAAGCGCACGTTCGTGCTGTGGTGTGTTGTCGCCGTTGTGCTGCCGACAACGACGTCGATCAGGGAGGAAATATCGGTCCACTTACCCAAATCCAGCGCCAGCAGATCGCAGCCCATGCGCTCGTACAACCGCGCTGTGTGCACCACAAACTCCCACTCCGCGCGTGGGCTCACCGTCATCGCACCACGCAGCGTCTGCAGCGACTTTTCGCGGAGCTGACGGTACAGGACGACAAGGGCAGGATCGTCGGTCAAGAACAGTTTAGATTGGAGTTTAGGCGATTCGGGCGGCGACAGGAGACCGGACAGTGGAGTCTGTTTTGACGGGCACGGTATGTTAGCTTGCTTATTGCCTCTTCGCGGAGGCTGTGATGCAACCGTATGGCTGTCGAATGGCTGTGTTGACTTACCACTAACGCTCGCACGGAAACGTCGCGCTTGCCGAGCATCCAGAACGCCCAGCTGGCCATCCATCTGTTTCCTTCCATGACTGCTCGGGGGAGGAACCTCTCAGTCAAAAACTTTCTCAACACAGGACCGTCGTCGCCTTCGTAGACCCTCGCCACAGCAATCGCCAGCTGCACGTCTTCCAACTGGTTCGACAGAACGCTCACCGCGTCCTGCAAATGGTCCGCGAGAAGGAAGAATGCCGCCGCGTAATGGAACCTCCGCTTGCCCATGAGCGCATAAGCGTTCTTGAGCGCTGCCGACTTCCAGCGTGGATCATTGAAGTTGTTCTGCAGCAGGCGGTGCGTTGCTGGTTGCTCGCGACTCCATGTTGCCATGCGCCAAAGGCCGACAAGCACAGCCTTCTTGCGGAGTGCAAGGTAGTATAGGGCGCAATCGACTGGGTTGCGTTCTTCGGTCTTCGTGTACTCATTGCGTGCAATCACTTCGAATTGCGTGCGAAGAGCTGTCAGATCCGTCATCCACATGAAGATTCCGGCCTCCCTGGCTTGTTTCCAACCAATCTTGGCCTGGAAATGCCTGCTTACGAGATCCATGAGAATGTCTTGGCTGCCACTGTGATAAGCCCAAGTAATCTCCCTCCATGATATCCTCGGTTCTTGCACGTCACGTTTGCCGTGCTTGAGGTAGTGTTGTCGGAAGAACAACAGGAAGCGGCATCCGTTGTCGTCGATGCTGCGTCGGTGCTTTTCCACGGTACCGACACATTCAACAATGTCCGCGAGGTGGAACTGCTCGCGGCTGGACAATTGCGGCACGGATTTGCTGGCCAAAAACTCGTTCAGAGCGACCGCAGTCTCCTCTGTAATCGTAGCCGGCTCGTCATCGGATTCTGAAAAATCGGCGTAGGACGATTGCATTTCCTTTCTTGCTGCATGCCTGTGTGCCTAGTATTTGGTCAGCTGAATTGGGAGAAGGTCTTCGATAAACCTACATCTGGATCAGTCGTGAAGTCTTCCGGCGTTAGCTCCAGGAATGTATCAAACGGATCGCCTTCGGTGTAAAACTTGAGCACTTTGTATAAGCTGACCAAGATGCGTTGCACAAGCGACAGTTTCCCGGCTAGAACGCACTGAGCCAGCAGCTGCGGATGATACACCGGCAACGGGCCGTTCAAGCGGCTGACCAGGGTGAATAAATCAAGCTCATGCTTTGCTCTTGCAACAAGGCGGACCTCAGGCAACAAGCCTTCTGAGACCTCGACACACTCATCCTGAACGAACAGTTGGTTACCAGCACCAACCACTAGGTTGCCGCTGCCGAGCCACACCGAGTCGCCTATCGGATGTGGCGTAAGATCTCGGATGCGGACCTCGCGTATCGGAGCCCAGGAAGGCCCTGCATTAAGATAGTCATAGCGCAGTTGCGCATATATGACTACCCTATGGGGAAAGCCGACAGCCAAAATATTTTGGTTGTCTGGCGACGATGACCAATCAAGATCCTGTATAGACTCATGTGCTTCAAAGCGCTCCTCGTGCTCGAGTTGTGCGCTCCGAGTGTTCCAGATGGTCAAGCCAGTCTTGTTTGAGTCCACGAGTGCCGCCTTGCGGATAGAGGTACCACTCGCCAAGGTCGGATTGTCAACTCCGGTTTCAACGGTGGAAGTTAGTAACCACTCTAACTTCCGCTGGTCGGGGTTGAGTCGGGCCGTCCATGATTTGATAACTCCCGAAACGGAGTATGAGATGGCGACGTCACGGGCAAACGTGTCCAGGAAGCCGGAAATGACAGGCGCAGTACCGGCAGGATCGACGGGAAGGACAAAGGCGAGTCCGTCTCCGGATCCAAGATCGAAAGAGCATAGCTCCTCCAGTGAAATGTTTCCCTCGACATTTACGGATGATCCTCGGCCAGCCGGAAGGCTGTTGCGCCTACTAGCTGCCGCGATTTTAGGCGGCAGGCGGACTTCCCAAGCAAGACCTTTCATTTCCGAGGAGATCGTTGCAAGATGTATGCATCCCGCATCCGCTTCCACTTCCGGTATGAGAATAAGGCACAGTGGCTTGCCTTGGAGTGCGTAAGGGCACCGAGCGACTTCCTTGGCCCTTGGGCCGCGAGCATCCCAGAGTGTAATGCTTTGATGGTGTAGGAAGACGACAAAATCTCCTTCTTGGACAATTGCAGTGCGATGAATGTGCTCGTTGACATTTACCACACTATGTCTGGCCAGCACATTGGCACCCGCTTTCGTATACTCTTGCTTCCAAACCACGCCCTCGTTGTTGTCCGTTCTTGATATCAGAGCTCTTCCAGTTGCGGTACGTACTGCCTTTTTGATAGGACCCGTGTGTCCTGTTAGAACAGTGTTCCGCTCCAGCCGGGTCATCTTCAGCGGCGTCGGATCGAACAGAAGGTCGACTTTACCCTCCAGCCACTCCAGCCGGCCGTCGAAATGATGCAGCAGGAGCGTAAAAGAGCTCCCGTGTGCATCACCGCAAAAGCTGTAGAATTGGACGTTGTCCTCGAAGGGTGTCACATCCTTGGGGAAATGTAGGTGGAGACCTTCAACGTGCGCGATGTTGAAGATCTCTGGTGCTTTCCTGTTCTTGCAGTCGATGCTCTCCAGACCCCATGCGGACATGTTACCTCTGTCATCAAGAACTACACAGACTTCTGGTGTCTTGTTTGCGACTTCAATGAGGTGTTCCAGCGCGTGTGACTCCTCCTGTGTTCCTTTCTCAGATGCTTGTTGTACGGCCTTTTCTGTCGCAATTGCAAAGTCGGAGCTGTCGATGAAGAAGGTGTATCGACGAGTGGATCCGAGACCGGGGACTCCGCGGGGTTTGATAGACTCCATCAGGTCGATCTCCGCCCAGAGCTGGAACATGCCCGGACCGTGGTGAGCATCTCCTCCACACCACACCCTGACCTTGTTGTCCGCGCAAATTGTATAGAGCACATTCTCAATAAGTTGCTCCTTATGCCTTGGCCTTCTCCAATGTAATCCTGTGACGATCGCGGGATGGGGAAGGTATGCGACATCGAATCGTTCTTGAACGCTGCCGGTCGTCAGGCGGTGCCATATTTTGACAAGACGGTCGTATTGTGACGTGGAAGCGATGAAAGTTGCATCGTATGAGAAGTGGGCGAATTTGGCGGGCGATGCCAGGCGTGTGCTATACAGATGTTCCGCGGTGTCGTTGTGAGTCGAGAAAAGCGCCAGCGACGAGCTTCCCACGAGAAGCTCCTCTGCCACACCCCACGACAATGTCCGAATCTCGTCTTCGGCATCGGGGACCGTGAGAGTGTGTTGTAGTGACCACTATAATCCTGCGCGTTAGCACCTCGACGCGGCGCATTGTGGATCGTTGTCGGCGTCGATCGGCCACCTACTTTTGGCGCTCCAAACTCGACTCCGTACGGCTTGTACACGTATGCGGCATTCTTCGAGGCAACGGCTATCTTTCCTGAGGGCTCGTCGAGGGTGATGGTCACTAGAATGGCTTCATCTTCGTGGTAGGTTGTTTGGATGACGGTACGCGGGCCGCCGAGTATTATGAATGCGTTACCGGATATGTACGCCTGCGAGGCAGCACAAGGCCATTAGCTAAGGTCGCAAGAAGATCGGGAGACGCGTCGCAAGCTCACGATAATCTGCCTTCCCTCCCAGAGCCCGGTGGTCACAGCAGCGAGCTCTGCGTTGGGGCGGCCGGGGAGGATGGCGCGCATGGAAGGTTTTAGGGGAGCTGTGCAGTTAGAGCAGCAGCAGTGTCGTCATGTTCTGGAGTAAGGAGGCGCATGGAACTAGAACGGGCGCAAGAAGATGCTGAGGAGAGCTATCAAGCCTCAATGTCTCAGATGGGGGAGCATGTGAGCTAGAACAACAGCTGTCATGGGGTGACGATTGCGGAGGACGCGGAGGTCCGTGCTGATGACGACGCTCCTTTCGGCCAGCGAAAAAGTACAGGCGGACGATGCTCTCTTCTCGAGTCCACGACGGCTAGCAACTTAAACAATGTATGGCAGCACACTATCGGAATGCGACCACGCCCGCGTCATGTTGCGCCATGACGCCAATCCGGGGAAGATAATCGTGCATCCCTAGCGCGGCATTGAACCGATCGCCAAGCACAACGTCTTCATGCGCGTAACCAACAGCCTTGCATTTGAAACAGTTACCCAACACGTTATCTAGAGATTCCAAAGCTGGCTGTACTTTTTGTTTTCTTCACCGACGACTTCCCACTTCATTTCAATGTCCAGGCCTCTGGCGTTCTTGCCCTCCTTCTTGTAGTTCACGGTGCCCGTGATCTTCTGGCCCTTCTTCAATCCACCCTCATCACCGGCCCGCTCGACTAGCAAAAGTCCGGATTCCCAGTGGGTCGGCTTGCCCCCGGGACCAGTGGTGAATGCGACGCCGGGCTGGGACCAGCTCTCCGCTCTGGCATCCTCAGGCAGTTTCGCGTCACGGGACTGCAGGAAGAATGTGTCAAACCAGATGCACCAGCCATCAAGCGTGTCAATATCCTTGTTGAGTTCGACAGTGAACTCCTTGACGAACTCGAGCTCTGGGACGGTGATCGTGTGCAGAGGGAGCTCCAGGAATTGCGACGACTTGGCAGCTGTGTAAAGTATCAGCTTCTCAAACTCAACGTTCTAGCGGAAGGTGTATTACCAAGTTTATCAGTCGTCAAACTCCTGATCCGCACATCATGGCGAATCTTCTCCATCATGGCGCTCATGTTGAATCCGTAGACATCGCGCCAGAAGTCAACGTTCTCTGCCACGTAGTCGTCATCGGCGAATGGCGCAATTTGCAGTGTGCAGTGACTCGGGACAAGCAGACCATCGCTCTTCAGGTAACGGTCTCTGGCATACACCACACTGTCGAACATGGCCTCGTAGAGCAGGCAGTAACCCATCCACTCCGAGACGATGATGTCAACCTTGTCCACTGGCAGAGTGACCTCTTCGATCTTGCCGCGAAGCAGAGTGATCTTATCAGACAAACCGTTGTTGTGCACGTTGACAATCGCCTTCTCGATGATGGAGCTGTTGTCTACGGCAATGACGCGCGCAGCACCTGCGCGAGCACAGAACATGGAGAGGATGCCCGTGCCACAGCCAATGTCGAGAACAGTCTTGCCGGCGAACAAGTGCTTGTTCTCGTAGATGAAATCGCGGTACGAGTCAGTGCGGACCGTGTCCTTCAACATCGTCTCGTGGATATCTGGATCGAGTTAGCGCATTTTCTTAAACGGATAGTGGCACGTCTGACCATTGTACGAGTACGAGTCGAAGTAGGAAGAGTCAACGCCGTCCTTGTCCTTGACAGCGTTGGCGACCATCTTGGTGCCAGACGGGCCCGCCTCGCCGTTCTGCGCCGGCTCTGTCTCATTCCAGCGCTGGTCAAGAGTCTCTGAGACAGTTTGCTGATATTCCGCGAACTTCCTCTTCATATCTTGGAGCTCCTCTTCCAGCTCCTTGACTCTCGCCTCAGGACCAGACGCCTGCGCTTGAGCGGAGGCATCTGCTGACTCCTCGTCATTCTCAAGCTCATCCAGGGAGAAGAGGACCGCGTCATCGGCAAGAGTAGGCTGAAGATACTTGTCGTCCTCGAATTTGGAGGCAGAAGAAACATCGGGGTTTTTGTTGCCGTTCTTAACTTCACTGCGGATATAGTTGACCAACTTGATGCTGCCGAGGAAGTCAAGGCCTTGATGCCAGTGTCAGTGACTTTTTCAAGGTAACCTGCTCGCGAATCTGTTTTGAGAGATGCTAAAGCCAGAGGAGACGAGGATAGGATATTGAAGTTTTTAATTGTAGAGAGCACGTGACTGAAAGCAGAAATCCGGAAAAATGAAATGAGGACGTAAATTCCCCGCGAAAAAAGAAAAAAAACACTCACCAAGCTGCTTCTGAACGCCGATGAAGTCAAATTGATGCCTCTTCTTGCAATCCTCAATCATAGACTTGACATCGGGGAAAACTTGGTCGTCGAACAGGCTGACGATCTGAATGCTTTCAACATCGGGCTCGGCATCCTCCCAGCCCTCGTCATCACGGATATCCAGGGGGTCGGAGGCTTCAGAAGATCCTGACGAGTGCGACATTTTCGTGTTCGTGTTGTTGTTTGAAGGCCGTTGCAAATGCGGTGCGAATTAGAGGCACCAAGCGAAAATGGACTAGACCGGTCTTGGCGGCGCTAATGCTAGAGTTCTTCACTTTGCAAGTCGACATCAGGATGCCAACAATTCGGTTCGATATCATCGAGGTTTGATTTGAGAGATTCACCGCATACATTGTTTAAGATACCGTGCTTGTTCATGAAGGCAATGTCCCGCCCCACCGTAACACCCTCCAAAGCCGTGCGCAAAGGACCGTAAACCTCGTCATCTTGCTGTCAATTTCGGTGGCCCGGCGAAGATTGTACGGCAGGAATGTATCAAACTTCCGGAGCCTTGTAATCCACGGAACTCAGATGTGGAAGGCCTCGAGACGTCTCGATTCTATTTGCGGAGACCCCTCACAAGACGACGACGGCGCTTTGGATGCGGTGATGGGGAGGATCGATGAGCTGCAGCCGAGGGAGACCGTGCAATCATGGTGAGATTCTCGTGTGCTTTTCCTTTGCCTTTGTCCTCATGGTGTGCTCTTTTGTTCTGAACTTGTCTCAACTCGCGCGCCTTGGCTTCATACATGCTAGCCATATGCTCGAGCTCTTCGTTGCTTAGTTGATGCGGCATGCCCTGCAAGTCCTTAAAGACGACCTTCGTTTATTAGAGCAGATCAGCTAGTGAAGTTTGTGCTTGTGTATACTCACGTTGTCGGAGACCATACCTGGGGGATTTTCGCGTCCATTACCAGAGTGTATGGTCTGCTCCCTGGACTTATCAGATCGGCGACCGGACACAGACTCCTGAGCGGGTGATGTCTGTGGCAGGGATTCGTTCCGGACAAACGATTCCAGGGGTTCCTCTCGAAGGCGCGATTCTATGACTGGGAGATCGCGAACGATCTGTCTGCTGAGACGCTTCTTAATTTCCGTTCTCTCCTCATCCTGGGCTTGTTGCGCCTGGTGCCAGAGATTGACCACCTCCCTCAGAGCTTTCTTCTCGTCGTCCGTCCTCAGCTTTCTCTCCTCGTCCATGATCAGCTTCCGAAAGAGGATGTTCGGAATGGACGTGTAAATCATGTTTTCATGACCGGCTGGCACTGGCATCTCAGAAAGCGGCAGAACATCGAGTTCTCCTAGAGGCTTTTGGATACTCATGATGTGGGCATCCATTTCGCGTTCGTCCGAAGGTCGTGGCATTGCTCCGTAAGTGTCGGCTTTGGTAGTTGTGCTGCTCAGAGAAGTTCGGTGTAGGAATGTTGGAGGAACCTGAGAAGTAGTCCGTCGTCAATGCGTTAACCACCTCGCAGTTTTAAACAGACAACGGAAGTCGTGTGAAAGCAGGTTGCTGCACGTTCGCCCACCGTTTTGCCATTCACATTGGCTCGCACAGATTCGTGAACAGCGCATGACAGTCTAACACCGTTGTCAGAAGGGGCGTTGCCGCATTGTTTCGGGTACAGTGGGCTTCTTTTGACCGCTTCTTCAAGGCTTGCCGTTCGATTGGATCACTGGTTTGTTTGTACCTACAGCTGAAAAGGCGTAGGCAGTCAGCAGATCATGTTACTTGCCGTGCAAGTAACTCACCAAACAGGAAACTGCGCATGGGCACCTGCACAGTCGTATACCTATGAAAGCGTGACGAACAAATGATTCAGCTTAACAACACTGCCATACTTCACTTTGTCTCCTATCCATTGTCTTGGGACCGTTGTCTAAGTCGCCACACCGCAACTTGTTTGTATAGAATTTGCTCGTTAGAATCTTCCTGATCATGCTGCACGCAACCATGCAGCGCGACAGCATTCTTTCGCTATCCCACTACTTTCGTCGCCCCCAACCCATGACAAGCCTAGCGAACGGCGGTGGAAAGCTCTGCCTGGTAACGGAAATTCCTCACTGACCGGCGGCAAACCCAACCCAAACATGCCAAGGACGTCTACGAGTGCAGATTCCACGACAGGAAGCGCTTAACCATGAACATGGGCGTGCAGAGCAGCGCCGGTGTGCGTGACGTCCCGGCTAAGAAGATTAATGCCAAGGCAGGCGCATTTCTCCAATGCAGGTCCAAGATCGAGACCAACGATACCAACAAAGCTCACAACACGTCCTCGAAAAACCACCCGATCTTCCCCATCCAACCCCCAGGCAACACAGCCCGTCCACGGCCTCGCCGCTGCCACAACGAATCACCACTATATCCAGACCGACTCCGATCGTCCTCACGCCGGGCACGCTGTCTCAGTCCCAGACCATCAGAAGAAGACATACGGTGCAATTCCTCCACGCCCACATCCCCTTCCACTGATGAGAAAACATTGCCGAGGCCAACTGTTTCTGAACAATGGCCTACGGATAGTGTAGCTGAGGGCGGGAAGAGCGAGTCGTCCAGGTCGCCGAGGCCGTGGATGCCTAAGCCAATGGCGCGTGAGCGCTCGCTTTTGGGCGTAAGCTGGCACATGGGGAGGTGATGGTGGGATTCTTCACTGTGCTGCTTGCTACGTTGAGGGATGGTGTCTGCGCGAGGCTAACAAAAGGAGTGATCGTGTTCTGGTGAGGGCTCAGTTGCGCTCCATTGCCGTCCATCGCCATTTGCCGACCTTCGCGCTCGCGGCTTGAGTGTTAGACAGTGCTCAGTGAGCGGTTGTACTTCACATGCGGTTTTCCGATTCGCAGTGGAGCCTGCCGTGTGTTTTCTATTCTCGCTGTTGACCGCATTTTGGGCAACATCCTACCGCGTGCACTGGGTGTTCACTGGTAATTGACAGCAAAGAAAGAAACGTCACCAGATACTGATGAGGTCATGTCTCAGACCATAGGTTGTTGAAAAAGACGTGGGACTCCACACTTGTACCCATGGCCATTGTTCTGTCTACCAAAATCGCAACACTTTTGTCTTCGGACAATGCTCTGCGTTATTTAGCTTTTTCTCAGAATACCGGGAATCAAAAACAGATAGTTCAGCGAATCACAGCAAGTTTCGTGCCTGTTTTCAACATCTTGGAATGCTCCCTTGACTGCAAAAGACGTTCAAGTTAGTTCAAGTTCGAATCACGTTAGTAAGTTAGCGGAAGATCACTGTCACAGAAGTTGAGGGCACTGGTTGTACAAAGGCAATCGCGTTTTTTTGTGTTTTTCTAGGTTTATTTGTGTGGCAAAAGTGTAAGCCTCCCATCGACCGTAAAACAAAAAGCCTCCTACCTTTTTCTTTTTTGTGTTTTTAGTTTTTACACCTGTTTTTGTTGTTTTGTAGTTTCTGGTTTTCTCAAGAGAGGAAAGGGAAACCGCTCAGTCAGTGTTGCAGAAAAAAAGGAAAGAAGAGCAGATCAGTCAGTAGAGGTAAGGGCAGCTACTCAGTCAGTAGAAGAAGAGGCCAGCCGCACAAACTTACCTAGTACCCCCTAGAGCCGTAGGTGTCATCCTTTCCATCCGACGAGGAGCTTTCGTACTTCGACGAGCGCGCATGCGTATCCCACTGGCCATACAAGTCATTACGGCCACCAGCAGCCCAGCGCGCCGCATCCTGAGCCAAGCGATCCAAGCCGGGCCTGCCCTGCCTAGCCCCATACACAGCATCCAGGCCATAGCGAGCGCCGTAAGCAGAGTCAGGCGCACGGGCCGAAGCGTCGCGCTCCCAGGCCGCCGAGCGCGGGGGCGGAGCATCGCGGGCTAGGACCAGCTCGCGCGAGTCCGACACCGACGGGTACCGGTTGTACTGGTCGGCGGGGCGGGGCTCAACGATGCGAGCGTAGTACGCCTGTCCGCTGCGCGTGTACTGCACCTCGCCCTGGGCGCGGGTCGGCTCGGTGTAGCGCGATTGCGCCTGCTGCTGAGCGTGGTAGCGCGCTGAGATGGGCTGGCCGCGCTCGTTCGTCGTGATGGGCGAGAAGGATGACTCCCGCCGCCGAGTGCTGGGGCGCTGGTCCATTGGGGAGTCGTAGCGGGTGCGGGTGCGGCCCCGGCTCGCGTACTGCTCCCCGTTGCTGGACGAGGGATAGTCGTAGTCCCGGGAGGACAGGAGCCGGCCGCGGGGGGACTCGTAGCTGTCGTCGCCGTAGTTGGAGTTGCCTCCGCTGTAGTACCTATCACCAGACATGTCTGCGTTTGTGTGTTGAGAGGGGGTGTTGGCTCTCGAAGGCGTGGTCGTGTTGTGCGTTGTGAAAGTGTGCTTCGGGTGCGTGTGTGCGTTGAAGCTCGCTTTCGTGTGTGCTGCTCTACTTCCGATACTACGCTGGTTATATACTGCGAGTGGCGGTGCTTTGTCTTGCGACGATGCGATTTGTGGTCGTGAACTATGCGCGTGAACAAGTGGCTCCCCTTTCTTTCTTCCTCAACGATTGTTCGGTCTTGCTGGCGCGCCTTGTCCTTCTTCGTCATGCTTTGTCCTTTTGTCTTCCTTCGTCAATGCATTGGAACGCTACAGACGTGCCGACTCTTGGAGAAACGCCGAACCGTCTCCTTCAAGCGAGCATTTTTGGCGGAAAAAAACAGCACAACGCCTACGCAGGAATTTTACGGTAGGTAAACCGTAAAGGGCACATAGACCCCTACTTTCCAACTATTCAGCCCTCTGTTCTTTACGTAACTCAATTGCTATATAAATATGCCCTATTTAACCGGCGGCCGTGACCTTTTGTGCGGGAAAGCACTAATGCCCTCGAGATATTTAGCCTAGACCGTGGGCAAGTGCGGAAATATCGGCAGTCCTTTGTTAGTTCAGTGCCTTAGTTTCGTATGGTTGTTCTGGCAACTAACGGCTTAATAGGGCAACTTCTATTAACTCACACCATGATTCTGCGTAGAGCGCGGAGCGTGCCGAGAGTAATGTCGCCGCCGCGTATGAACAGGCATCTAGCCAGAAATGCTTGTCTTGTGATGCCTAGGACTTGTAGATACTATGCTCACAGCGTTCACAACATTGTGACTCGATTTCAAACAGCAAACAATGACATGCACTGTACATTGACAAGTCTTGTCGCGAGGTCTTAAAAATCTCGTATATTTTCTTGTCATCTCAATATGAATACCCAGTTTACTTTGCCGAGTATGAGCAAACTTGAATCAACAGTTATTTCTGAACCCGCAGAACGATCTCCTAGTATGTCACAGACTGTTTCCGCCCGTGGCGCAGGTTTCGACCATGTCCGTCATGACGGAGAGATTGAAGACATCGACGACATGGTTGTCGATTCGGAAGAGCACGGTGCCGATGAGAGCACTTCCGAGGACGACAGTGATGAGAACGCCGAAGATGTCAATGGCATTGAAGGCGAAGAAGACTTCATCCCTTTCCGAGTCGGCCGCTACAAGGCCGTGCCAGGAAACGCGCGTTTCGACCAAGCGACGCGGCTGCCACTCCACTTGATTGACAGGCGTAGCGGTTCTGCTGTCAAGGTCTGCAAGCCTCATTTCGAGGTCTCGTGGGACAGCAGGACCGACATCAAGCGCCTCAATGCCTGGTATCGCAGGTGCTGGTGTAAACTCGGCGGCCGGCAACTACAACTGCCTCATCTACCATGGTCCGAGGAGGAGCTGGACTTCCTCCGCGACGTGTTCCAAAAGAACAAGGGCATTACCCATAACGAGGCGCGGCAGAGGTTCAACGATCACTTCCGAGGCCGCACACTTACGTGTCGGGGCCAGACGTGGAAGTTTAAGGAACGGCATGAAAAGATTTTCTCCGGGGCGATTTTTCGCTTCAAAATTAAAAGAGGCGATACTAGGGGTAAGTTGTCTGGCGATTTATGGTCCGAGGAGGAACGTGAGTTCGTCAGAGAACTATGCATGGAGAAATTGAGCTACGACAGGATTCTGAAGCGCTATAATAAGCACTTTGACGGTCGTACGTTCGACATCGACGGTAAGGCTTGGAAGTTTAGGCCGCGCACCATGTCAAGTCTCATCTCTGCTGTCCACCGCCATAAGTTGGATGGCAGGGATGAGAGGGTTTGGTATTTTTGGTCTGAGGAGGAGGTCGAGTTCGTCAGGGAACTCTGCAAGGAAAGCTCAGACTACGCCGCAATCCTGAAGCGCTTTAATAAGCACTTCGAAGGTCGTACGTTCGAAAGCGATGGCAAGTCTTGGGAGTTTAGGCCGCGCACCTTGGGGAGTCTCCACATGACTGTTAGACGCCTCAATTTGGATGGCAGGGATGGGCAGAACTTGGAAGACCAGAATGAGCAGAATTTGAACGCCAAGAATAGGCAGGCCTGGAACCCATGGACCCAAGAGGAGCGCGAGTTTGTCCAAGACTTGTTTAGGACAAATCTGGGCTACCAAGCAGTACGGAAGCACTACAACGAGCACTTCAAGGGCCGTGCGCTCCAGGACAATGGCGAGGTTTGGACGTTTAAGCTGTGCTCGTTGAAGAATTTCGCTCATGCTGTCCTGTATTACAGATTGAGGGACAGGCTTAGCTCTGACCTCCCCAACTTGGACGACAGAGCGGAGCTCTTGACTGAAGAGGAGAAGGAATTCCTCAGAAAGCAGGGCTGCCTCTGACCGCTTCAACTGCCCCTTTTCTTTGTAAATGGAAGCTGAACTGACCTCGACTCCTCTGGCCTTGAGATCAATCACCGTTTGTGAAGTCTGCTTTGAAAGAAACTTGTATGTCCACGGAGTATGCCTGTTAGTATGAATGAACGACTGTGAAGAAAAAACAAAATCTATTTCCTTTAGCATTGAATAGCATGTCACCCCAACATGCTAGAAAGACCCAGTGAGTATTCTATTGTGTGCCCGTATTTATGTTTGTTTTGCTTACTGCCGGCCTCTTATATTCTCTTCATGATAGTATTCAACTACACGAGTCAGTAATTGGAGGTGAATTCTAATCATTTAAACCATTTACCTCGCTACTTGAAAGACTAAAGCGGCTCAATGCTGAAACAATACGGGAATAAAGTACCGTACACAGCCAGCTCAGGGTAGGGCTAGGTGTATAGGTGTACAGACGTCTCTTTAGGAGGGTTTGGAAGGGTTTGTAGCAGCTAGTAAACCAAGTAAACCGTAATAGGGGCTTTATTAAGCTTCCCAAGCGACAATTAAGAGGCAGCTATACAGTATAGCAGCATCAAGGTACGCCTAAAGGCCGGCGGGCAGACAGCAAGCACCATCCTCCACAGCCAGCCTTCCCCATACCATAATCCAACGCAAGCACGCAACAGGTAGACTTCCAATCCCAGCCCAAAGCCCAGCGCATCCCTGCCTGCCTCAGCGATAGTACATAATCGCAACCCTGATATCGCTTTCGCTGCGCGGCGTGCACACGCGCACCCAGCGGCCAAACAGCTCGCAGCTGACGACGACGCGGCGGCCGACCCAGTCGCGGGCGTAGAGGTTCTTGAGATGCGAGGGCGTCACTCGCGGCTGGAGGTGCAGCATCATTCGGAGCCAGGTCTGTTCGCGGGCGGACCAGGGGACGCGCGCGTCTGTGAGTGAGAGGTTTGTCAGTAGTATGAGCATCCACAATTACAAATGTCTTCACTTCGCAAGGAAAGAAAGCAAGCGAGAATAAGAAACGAGATGAAGGAGGTTGTGGCTGTAGGAGATGTGGAACCGGTACGAAAATTCACCACCATAACGCGCGCACAGTCTAGCAATCTCGCGGTTCAAGCCTGCCACGACATCAGGGTCATCCCACAGCACCCTATGTCTGCGCCCAGAGCCATACGTCAGCACGTCGCCATGGACAAGGAAGCGGACCGGGAAGCGCTGCGCCTGGTCCATCACGCTGCCGTCGGGGCGCTGGATGTAGCGGCCGACGCGGAAGGGCGTGAACATTGTTGAGGCGTAGGTGGTGTTGGGCGCGGAGGTGGGGTCGGGTGGGAGCTGGTTCGTCATTGTGAGGGTTGTTGTGGTGAGAGCCTGCCAGGCGCGTTGTGGTGAGAGGCGTGCGTTGGTGATGAGGAGGTGAAGGTGGGTGAGATTGTGCTGGTGTAATGGTATGTTTCTTGTGCTGAGCGTTGTAAGGTGCTTGGGGTGCGTGTGAAGTAGGCTAAGCCCGGAAAGGAAGTGAGGTTTAGCGTGTGCGCTGCCTGCTGGGGTATGTGAGCATTTCTTGCCGTCCACACAGGTATTACTGCGTCCTCAACTCCTCACGAGTCGTGAGTTCAAGCCTTCACTTACAGTCTACATTTTACGTCAATTTAGCGCACTGTTTTAGTTTCGCCCGGGCTATTCCGCACTCTACTCTTAAACCATTGAGCTACACTGGCTTGTCACTTGACGTCCGTAGATACCAGCCTTGTATAATTGCTGGAATAGTGAACTTAAGTGCTAACCGCTGCCTTCAAATACGTTTTTAATAGGTAGTGTCTAATCCGCGATCAACAAGGCAGAGAGTTTCTAGAAACCCTCGCTAGGCACGCAAGGAGTGAGCTGTTTTATAAGTACTATTTTAACACTGCATAACTACGAGAAGACAACAACTGCTTGCTTGGCTGCATGATCATTCAATTGCATATTTTTCTGACTATGTATCAGTACGTCGATCACAGCGGGTAATATAGACAATGCATCTAGGTATCTGCAATGTGCGTGGTTAGGAAACGGTGTTTATTATTTCGTATCTAAATCCAAATTTCGCTACAAGTGTATAGGTAGTGTACCAGCCCCTAGAGTCCTATCCTGTCCTCGTTACGTTGATCCTGCCGTCGTTGTATATACATATATATATGTGTATGTGTGTGTGTGTGTGTGTGTGTGTGTGTGTGTGTGTGTGTGTGTATGTGCATCTCACACCCTCCAAAGCCCCCACCCCTCACACCCCCCAAAACGCCTACCTCTACCGTTTCGCCCCATCCTCGCGAATCATATCCGCCGCCTTCTCCGCAACCGCATACACCGTCGCCTGGATATTGCCCAGCGTCTCCAGCGGAAACACGCTCGCGTCCACAACGCGCAGATTAGCCGTGCCATACACCTTTAGCCTAGTATCCACGACGCCGTCCAGCTCGCGCGGCATCATGGCGCATGTCCCCGAGGGGTGGAAACACGTAAACGCGCGCTCCGTCGCCATCTGCTTCGCCGTGGCTAAATCGGCTGAATCCCGCTCTGCGCTGGGCACGCGCCGCCCGCCCTCCTTCAGCACCGCGCGCATCGCGCTGGTCTGCACGAAGCGCTCCAGGAACTGGACATGGCGGGCCTGCAGCTCGAGGTCGAGCGGGTGCGAGAGGTAGCGCGGGTCGATTGCTGGCGGGGCGAGCGGGTCCGCGCTCCGGATGTGCACGCTGCCGCGCGAGAAGGGGTGGTTCAGGATCGCGACCACGGTGATGTAGTTGCCTGGCTCGGCGCCGCCGAAAATTTGCCGCATTGTGTTGCGCTGCGCGTCGTTGTTGAGCTGCATGGGCAGGTACATGAGCTCGACGGAGGGTTCTTGCGGGTTTGCGAGCCGGGCGCGCAGGATGTCGTATTGGCGCTTGCGGGCGGGGAAGTCGGCGTCCGTGGACGAGGCGAGGCTCTCCTCGATGAGCGTGGCCAGCTCGGCCCGGTCCACGGTCCCGTCTTTGTCGACCGGTGGCAGGTACGCGATGCTCAGCAGCGTGCCGGCCAGCGGCCCGTCGTGCGAGTCCTCGAACATCTTCATCACGGCCGCCTGCAGCGACGCGTCGCGCTGCACGTTGTCGGCCGACATCTGGTCGTCGGCGATCTCGTAGCTGACGCTCGAGAGGGTGTGGTCCTGGAGGTTCTCGCCGATGCCCGCGTTGTGGATCCTCACTGGGATGCCGTGCTGTTTGAGGATCTCCCCGTTGCCAATGCCGGACAGCTCTAGCAGCTGCGGTGACTGGATTGACCCGGCCGCGAGAATCACCTCGCCGCTGTCCTTGACGGAAATCGTTGCGCGCGAGCCGTCCTTGCGGATCACTTTGGCGCCCGTGGCCCGCAGCGGAGCGGCGTCACCCTCGGCGAACTCGAGCTTCTCGACCGTCGTCTCGGTGAAGACGTGCAGGTTTGGCCGCTGAGCCACCTCATCCGTGAAGTACGCCGACGCGGAATACTCCCTGGTGCGCCTCTCCGGGTGGATGGACAGCGGACTGGTAAAGGAGCCCAAATTCTCGCCGCCAATGGGGTCGCTGCGGGAGTGGTGGCCCAGCTCGTCGAAGCCGTTGACCCAGGCCTCGTGGAAGGGGCCGTAGCCATCGGGGATAGTGACGTTCAGGGGCCCGTTGTTGCCCTGGTTCGCATCCTCCATGTAGTCGAGGCGAAGCTGCTTCTTCGTGGCCTCGGACGCCGGGGTCCACGTCTGGAATTTGCGGAGATAGGGCGCGAAGGCGTGGGCGCTCCAGCCCTGGTCGCCGGTGATTTCGGCCCAGTCGTTAAAGTCGGCCTTGCTGGGGTAGAGGATGGCGGAGAAGTTGAGGGCCGAGGAGCCGCCCAGCACCTTGCCTCGCGGACACGCAATTTGCCTGCCGTCCAGGGCCGTCTGCGGCTCGGTAATGTAGCTCCAGTCGTAGGCGGGATCCTCGTACAGGGTGCCCATCAGGCCGGGGACATCGATGCGGGGATCACCCTTGCGGTTCGCGCCGGCCTCGATAACGGCAATCGTCTTGGAAGGGTCCTCGCTCAGGCGCGCGGCCACGACGAGGCCCGCCGTGCCTCCACCCACGATGACAAAGTCAAACTCGGTCGGGATGCCCATTGCTGCGAGAGACAAAATGTTTCAGCAGAAAAGCACGGGAATTCATGACACGCCACGACTCTTTATCTGACCCCTGCGGTGGGGCCATGGCTAGTTAGGGGTAGGGCCTCGGCCTCGATTAAGGGTCTCCCTACTGCGAATACATGGCGCGAAGGAAGAAGTCAAAAAACAAAAGGGCCGACCATCCGTTCCCCACGATCGTCAGGCACGCCGCGACTGCACGCCTGAACGCAAAACGTTCTGCGAATCTTTTTTTTCTTTCGGTCGTACCATGCAGCACTTCATCCCGGATTTACTCGGATCTGAAATCGGATGACCATGCCTAATAATATCTACAATCATCGCCCGTCGCCGATCAACTCTGTTGATCTTGCCCATGTAGCTGCTTATACCTAGCTACTAATGGCGGTACGCAACACCTACCCCATCTACCGCTTCAGCGATGTGCGCGTCCTCCTAAACGTTGGCACCTTGCTGGTGGCCATTTGCGCCGTCCTGGTCGCTCTGCGCTTTGCCTCGCGCATCGTTCGCCAGCAGCGCCTTGGCGCCGATGACTGGTGCTCCCTTGTGGCTCTGGTACATATAGCCTATTATCATCGACTGACTCGCTCCCACTCACCTCTTGTAGTCCGGCGTTATCCAGCTGATCGTCCATTGTTACCTATGGGCCCTCTGGGGCATGGGCATGCATATGGCTGAGATTGGCATACCCAATGTCTCCGCAAACTTCAAAGTTCGTGACTGTCTCCATCCATCCCTTCATGCACACTGCTGCTTACAACACCTCCAGGTCCTAGTAGCCTTTGAGTTCGTCTACGGCCTCTCCATTGCCGCAGTCAAGTGCTCCTACCTGGCTTTCTACCTGCGCGTCTTCCCCCAGAAGCGTTTCCAAACAGCCGTTTACTGGTGTCTGGGTCTCATCGTGGCCATTTTCATCGCCAACGCGCTCCAGATCTTCTTAATATGCCGTCCTGTTGCCGGAAACTGGGATCCGCTTATCCCTGGCCTGGTTTGCGGCAGCAGGCCAATCAGCTTCGCCATCATCGGCGCTTTGAACATGGTCACCGACCTCATCATCATCCTCCTGCCTCTGCCGCTGGTGCTTGGCCTGCAGATGGACCGACGCACCAAATGGGGCTTGTGTCTGATGTTCGGCCTGGGGTTTTCGTATGTCGTCTCGCACAGCTCCTCCCATCATCACCCACTAACGTCGCTGGGGCCCCTAGCATTACCGCAGTTTCCATCATCCGCATGCTCGTCATGCTCCACCTTGACTTCTACGACATGACATACTCGATGCAGCCGTCGGCTGCGTGGACAGTCCTCGAGACTACCATCTCCATCATCAACTCTTGCATCCCGATGCTGCGGCCGATCCTGATGCACGCGGTGGCACGCGTGCGCAAGCATGTACCTTGCTCCAACAAAACCGGCAGCAAGAGCGCCGGCGCGCTCTCCTCGGAGGGCGGGTTCTCATTGCACGGATTCAAGAGCGGTAAGAGGAACGGGGTGGGTGGCGAGGGGGATTTTGATCGTATTTCGGATAAGACGGCGACGTCAAAAAAGGGAGGGAAGAAAGAGGTCGGCATTGACACGATGATTGACGAGGAGTTGCGGAGGGATGTCGAGGCGGGGCGAGTGGACACTACTACAGCGGGGTGGGAGGATGGTGGGAGTGAAAGACGGATATTACATGGATAATGCGTCGTTGTGCATGTTTCCCTCCTTTTTGTGAAAAAAAAGAAAAATCTTGGAACAAAACAAGCCTCATCTGGGGCTGGAGGGGGAAGAAAAGTCGAGCGCTCACACGCCCTCCTCTCTGTCCGTGCCTCCTTCAGCCAGACCGCGACACTGGCACTGGCACTGACACCGGGGGCGGGCAGCCCATCCTGACGACTAGATGCTAGTGCGATCTCCTCAGTCAGGCGGCAGCGGCACGCCACCGCAAATCGCAAGCGTAACGCCGCAACCGTAAGCCCTGGACTGCGATGGCGATCGGCTCGGCCCGAAATAGCCAAGCCTGCGGGGTAGAGTTGAGGCTGCGCAGACAGTGCCATTGAGTCGGTGGCAGAAAGAGGAAAAGCGTCGAGAGAGTGGAGCGCTAAAGCGGAGCGAGTGGAAAGGAAGACAAAGGCCGTGATATGCGTCGATCAAACTTACGCATCGGGCTTGCGGGCGTTGGCTGCACCGGCCCCGTGTGGGTGTTCTGGGTGCGGGGTGCGGGGTAGTCGTTGCCGCCCGTTGTTGGCCTATCAACGGACACATCAAGCCGTAAGCCGCACGGCGTTTTCCCATTGAGGTTGGAATTTAGCGGGCTGAGTTGCTGTTGCCGTTGGTGGATTGTTGGAGCGGACTGCAAGAAGAAAGGCGGAAGAGGCTGGGGTTGGGAAGAGATGGAAGGAAGGCAGAAGCGAAGGCGACGATTGATGCTGAGTTTCGCCTTGCTGGTGCTGCACGCTTGGAGGAGGTCAGCCATGTTCCTAAAGTGCGGGAAGAGTGAAAACTGATTTCCATTCGTCTCGCTCAATGTTTGAATGATGAGGTGGTGGTGGTGGGGATAGATCGAAGGTGTCGCGGGACGGGACGCGCGGAGAGAGCGGAGCGCTAAGCGAGAGGTGCTAGGACCGTTTCGGTGTGGTGGGTTTTGGGCATGGCATCTCACTGATGCATTGCCACCTAACAGGCGTGGCTTGTGATTTAATAAATCTTGCAACCAATTGTTGGGCTTTGGAAGTTTTTGACTGATCTACAATGCAGCGCGACTATGGCAAATTATTATAGATGGCCAACGTTTCGACAGCTTCACGATTTGCAAACATACAATAAATGGAAACCGTAAAAGATCATGCCGCTTTTATTACAATAACTGGCACATAGCAACAAGCATTGAAAGTTGAAGACCAAATAAAGTAACGGTTAACAGGAGCTTTCGCTGTTATCAAAGAACAATGACAACAAAGTTAATATTGTTTGATGTTTGAAGATTCTTAACAGAAACGCGCCCGCCGCTACTGTCGGAAGTGGTTTTTAACACCTATAAGTCTTTCCCAAGGCTAGCCTTTTTTGACTTAGCGGTGGCAGTGGGAGTGTTGTTGTTCCACGCCCCTCTCAAGTTTAACTTACCAAGCACTCTTTCTCTCCAAAACTCACCCACGACTTCTTTCGGTTTCTGCGACCCGAAGCAGCTTCCTGCTTACACCCTAAAGAGCACTCGGTTAATCAAGCACTATTTGGCCCTGTTACCCGACGTCATCGACGGTCTACCACGTCAAGCCGCTCAGCGACGCACAAAAGTACGTACCCTAACACATTTTATTCGCAAAAGCCTTTCAATTAAAACAGCTGCTCATACCCGGCCCTTATTCCAAGACGATAGTGTCGGCTTTAATCGGCCATTGACAACCGTTTCCTTCCAAAGACACAGCGCAACAAACATGGTCCTCGCCTACATTTCCCGGAACAAGTTGAACAAAGAACAGATCGGCTGGCTGGCCAACTTGTACCTGTACCAGCGCTGGACGTCAAAAGTGTGCGACAGACCCGAGTTCATTGCTTTCCGCAACGCGAACGGCCTCTCCAATGAGGAAGCATCGTTCTTTATCTCCAAGGGCATGTGGAAGTTTCTGTATGAGATCGAGCCGGTCTTCAACGCTGCTCCGGGAGACGTCATCAAAGGCTCGATGGCATACACTTGGGCATTGGTCATGGAGCTGGCCAAGGGACTCAGGGAAACGGCTGAGGAGAATATCTCGCTCTTCACGGAGGAAGACAACGCCGAATTCGACTTCTGGCCTGATGCCGAACTGGACATAATGCTGGACGAACTACCTGAAGGCTTCCTGCTTGGCGATGGACACGAATCTACCGCTAGCGACGCTGCTAGCGACACTGAAGAGGATGTTGAGAGCGGCGTTGACGGCGGCGCTTACGACTTTGGGGATGTTGCTTGGCCCCAAAGCAAGCGGGCGCTTGCACGTTTCGCTTGCATGTTTCGCTCGGAACTACCAGTACAAGCGCTGGGTCTCGAAGATGATTGATGCAGCCCGCCTCCGGGACTACGCGAGAGCACAGGATATCCCCGAAGAAGAAGCTATTCAACAGCTCGGACGGGAATTGACCGAGTTCTGCAAGGAAGTCCACCGCCGGACCACAGAAATGCCTGATGATGACGACGACGACGAGGATGACTATGATGCCATCAAAGAAGAGGACGGCACGACCTTCAAGCTCGGCCGGTACAAGACTCTCGAAGATGGCACCGTCTTCGACCAAGCAACCCGGCTCCCGCTGTACGTCCGTGACGACATAACGGGCGAGATGAAAGCGCACAGCTACGTTGCGGACATCGACTGGGACTCGCAGCAATCTATCACCGAGCTCAACACGTGGGCGAACCGGATCTTGCGCCGCAACAGCCGCAACGATTTCAAGATGCCGTGGACGCAGACCGAGAAGGACTGGGTCGTGCAGTTCTTCCAGCAGAACATGTTTGCCACTTACAAGACCGCGTACACCCAGTTTAAGGCGCGCTTTACGTCCCGTAGCTCGCTTACGATGGCCGGGTTTTGTACAACGATTTCGAGACATGGTTTGAGGATTTCTAGAGATGATCGTATGAAGCTGAAGAAAGAGCTTAAGGAGAATGAGAAGGAGAGGAAGAAGGCGGAGAGGAAGGAGAGAGTGAGGAAGGAGATAAAGAAGGAGATGAATGAGAGGTTGAAGGAGGAGATGAAGAAGATCGATGCTGGCGGTCAAGGTCAAGCTCAGAAACCTCAAGCTGAGAAACCTCAAGCTGAAGCTCAGGAACCTGAAGTTTAAGACCGCAAAAGCCAGCTACCAGACTCTTCCGGCCCTGGGGCTGAGAACACGGCCCCCGACGATGTTGAATTCGGATCGAACTAAGATCCAGTGAGTTATAGTCTCGGGGCTGAGGTTGCTGGTTTTCTAGAGCGGACTTGGGTCTTCCCTATTTCCCTAACCTTCATTTCCTTACCTTTCTTTCACTTAAAACTTTCTTTTTTGGTGCTTGATATCTTCAGTTTTCTTTAATGGTGATCGTTTTGAAACGGTTCATTAGCGTCTTCAGTAGTGGAAACTGCCCAACGCCAATCAGGAATCCTTATGAAGCGCAATAGCCTTGATGATATCTAGCAGAAAGAGTAATGTCCTTACCGAAGGCCTCTTGGTTTCTTTCGGCATCAATGTGAGTGAGGAGGCGCTGAGGCAGCCGGTATACTTCTCAGTATCAGTAAATCGGCTTTTAACCTATATTTAAAGGTTGCAGTTGCAGTTGGTATGATTGCAGTACTGCGTTTGAAGCTACATGTCCGTCGCCATCCAAACAATGCGGATTCTCACTGATGGATAGTTTCTCTGTCATGTATCTTGCATATCAATCCTGTCTGAAGCAAGCCGCCATGGGTTTGATTCGGTGTTTTCGTTATGCGCTTTCGTCACCCATGCTTTGAAGGACAGGAAATATTTGCTTTGACCCTCTGCATCATGCCGCCGCATGTTATGATGTACCGGAAGTGTTTGCGCACAGGCTTCTTTATCCTTTCTACCTATGGCTTTTGCGGAGCGTTCCTCTCAGAAGATAACTACTGAGGCGTTGAGAATGTCCTAGTACTTTTACCTTGAACAAGGCTTCAGAGAGGATGGAGTGGAGAAAAAGGGTTCAAATGAATGCGAAAGTGAAGCCGTAGAAAAGAGCCTTCGAACGCATGGACAACTCTCTTCAACCTTGGCAAGTTCCTGTAAGCAGTGCAGTATTCCAACAGTCTTGAAAGTCCGAACGAGCTTAAAACACCAAGCCTCTACAAAGATGTGGCCCAGGCCTCTGCAGAGCTAAACTAACAGCTGAATAGACAATGGCCTGGACTAGATGATTTCGAAGGCCACGGTCTAGCTGCTTTCAAAGCCACTCATCCGCGGGTTCCGCATACGCAGCATTTTATGCACCAGAAAGGGCGATCTCTACAGGGGTTTCCCAATACGTATTGCGATGGTGAATGTTTCTACTGCTCGGCAATAGCCAGGGTCGCCACTGCGGTTTTCTTGTGACGAGCATCATCTGCTAGGGCTGTCTTGGCTTCTTACATGGCCTTGTGCGGTAGTATGGAAAAGTTCATAGACCAGCGACTGTTTCTATAAGGCTATAGTCTGGGCACCCTAGTTGTGCAGCGATGATATCGGTGTCGGACTACTTCAATATGACGGGTAGATTCTGTGGTCTCGAAACTCTTCTCTTACCATTTTGGCAGTTTATATGAGTGCGGTGCTCGCTTTTGAATATTGCCGCCTTGTCTGTTATCATCGCTTATCCGGCTCCGTGCGCCGTGCGGGCTCGTTGCTAGCCATCTGCAATGAAATGCCTGGGACTAAATATGGAGTTCGGGGAGGAGGCTTGAGGTGGGGCTCTGGAGGACGGTTGTAGCCGCGAAAGGTGTTGGACCAGATGTTTAGAACGGTTTCGAATGAGCGGAGGACGGGTATGCGGCTGTTGGATCCAAGATACTAGGCGAGCTTGGGTCGTCGATTGTGAGAGTAAGGGGAAACCCAGAGCTGAACAATGCGATCGCTCTACCAACTCATAGTCGGTCTGGTCAATCTGTTGGTTGGGAATGTGCCAGAAGAAGGCGAACGTCCTGGTTAGCGGCGGGACGAAATCGAGTGGTAAAGAATATCATCTGGGTGTTGTCTCCAGTTAGCGAAGGGAAGAATGCTGGCAGACATTTGCTTTCTCGGGGTCACCCCAGGTGAGTTGCGACCGTATTGGAGCCTTACTGTGAAACCAAAGCTTGTTTATGGTGAGAGCTTTGCTCAAGAGTTCTTGGTCAAGTCGCGTGAGGATGAACCGCAGTTTGTCTCCAAAGTGGAAGATAGGTGTAGAATGTTTAGGCTTTCAATGGGGATCGCCGGAATGTTGTTGTCTAGATTTAGTTTCTGAATCTCGTCAGCAGCTACCCCTAAACAGTTTTGTCAGAGCGAGCGGTCTATCCACGGCCTTGTTTTGGTCTGACAGGGTTCTGTACGCCATTGTTATCCACCTTATGATACTCGTACCAAACTCCCAGAATGTCTTGTCTATTATACCTGAAAAAAGCTCTCGTCATTTATACAAACCGGGCTTTCAAAGGGGTTGTCTTTGGCTAAGCCCTTGTATCAAATAAGTTAACAAATACTCTTCTGCACATATACGGCCAGTGCCAAATCACGGACTCTTACCTGCACGTACTATATACCAAGCTATCTCGAGAAGACCATACCAACAATCTCACTTAACTGTAGATAATTCGCAGTGATTTATCTGTTCCAGCAGAAGGGAAAAGGTCTCGGAGCAGCCAAACCGGAATATTGATGTCATTAATGACAAAGTTTCCCGAGAGCACGCAAATTTTGGAACCAGCCACCTAACTACTGTTTTCGTTGCCGTGAATATTGGCAAGTGCGGATAAGTTTGATCTTGGCTGCAGTTCGTGACGTTCATCTGCAGTCCGAATAACTACAGATCCGTTTTGCCGGTTGACACGCCATCGCATTGATTGGATCTGAAGACTTCGCTGTAGGCCATGTGGCTTGGCAGAGACGATCGGGAAACATGTTCGTTCTTGGCTATGCAGCCTGAGGTTACACTCATATGTACAGTACATACTCACGCTCTCATTACGAGAAACATGATTGAATACAAGTTCGGATGGCTAGAATTGTTAGATATTTATTAGGTATTTAGTTTTGAGCTGCGAAAATGCTTTAGCTTAGGTAAGCACCCGACTGATGTACCACATAGCATGCTGCCATCAGCGACGTCAGATGCCGTGCCTCATTAAGCCTCGCTCCCACCAAGCAAAGTACGGTGTAGACGGATGGATCACACGAGAGCGTCTAATGGCCAATGAACGAGCCTGACGCGTAATGCATCCTCGTGTCGAGGCGCCTTTAGCCGCTGGGGTCTGCACCTCGTCTGGATCTTGGGCATGCTGAACCCATGTAAACTAACCTGTTCGTACACCTGACATGAGTCGCGTGTGTTGATATCCGCAAAAAATAATATGGAAAATCTACTCCGCAGAAGATGAGCAACCTGAGGCTCCACAGGCCAGTCTGGG